CAGACCCGTGAAGATCCGGGGGAAAATAGGTCTTAAGCAACCCATTTTTGTCACAAAAGGCGACTATGCTTGTCGTAAAAGGCGACTAACGGGATCGGGTGGTCAGGCTCGCTGACCTGGTTGACACATGTCATCGGTTCCCAATTGCGCAGATCGATGCTCATGCTGTTGATCACTGGATTGTCTGATCCAGATTCGATTATTTACAGACCGCCGCCATATAGCTGGAATATTGCTGAGAATATACTGTACGCACGGTATGGCCACCGTTGTGACGTCACATTACACAGTCGGATTCTGCCAGATGAGAACCAAAAGTCACACTTTACTGTGAATAAATATAAGTATATCAAAGGCTGCAGAAGGAATTTCTTTATTTCCAGATCAGATATATAGCAATGTTTCAAAGATACTGTAAAGTGTCAGTGCTAATGTACAGTGGACTCCCTCTAAACCGACATCCCTCTAATCCGACATTCCCTGTAAACCTACATATCTATTTGGTCCCGACTTAAAATATATGAGAAATTCCCTCTAATCCTCTATTCCGAATTCCGACACACAAATCCGGTCACAAAACATGTTTTCAGTGCAAATTGACTGTCTCTAAACCGACATTGTAATTTTTCACAAGAGATTGCAGTGTGTAATTAGCAATCAACGCGCTAGTCAGAGAAGTGGTCGACCAAGGCGTAAAAACGATTAACTGTGAATTACTTGCTAATTACTCACCAACTTCTAAAATGCCAATCAAACAGATAATTACTCGTTCAGTGGATTCATAGATTGGTGAAATCACATGTTAAATAATTGTTACGAGCTTCTAAGAACTCCCTCTAAACCGACATCCCTCTAAACCGACATTTTTCACCTGTGCCGAGCGATGTCGGTTTAGATGCATTCCACTGTAATTCACGTAGAATGGTCGTATCGCAATCATGTAATATTCTAGCACATTTCCATAATCACTGTCCCACAGTGAATGGGATCCCCTTTAAATTATGAACGTTTAAATGTACATCAAAACAATTATTTGTCACATCGTATCACTTTTTTAGCAATAGAATGTACGTTACACTTTTACACTTTAAAGAAATGTAATGTTGAACACAAAAGGCGATGGATTTTCTCAGCATCCTGTTATTACGTGTCGCAATACCATTGCAGATTGACGTAATATCGCATGTCAATCAGGAAATATACAGAAGATGTTATTATTGTCTGTATCACAATGTTGGGCTATTCATGGATTAATGCATTCATGTAGGAATATCTCTCTCGCCGACATTTCCTGAAATCATGTTCCTTTGTAAGTTCAACTGGGCCGGTGGGGTAGCCTAGTGGTTAAAACGTTGGCTCGTCACGCCGATAACCCGGGTTCGATTCCCCACATGGGCACAATGTGTGAAACCCATTTCTGGTGTACCCTGCAGTGATATTGCTGGAATATTAATAAAAGCGGCGTTAAACTAAACTCAGTCAGTCAGTAAGTTCAACTTGCATATAATGGTGTCAACTGACTCAACCCATAAATATTCCGTGACGAGTCGTGCAAGTGTTAGGTAATATTTTACGGGCGATTCTATTGGTTTATCATTTCTATTTTTAGAGACGAGAATCAACATCGAAACATAGGTCTACCTCTAATAGTGACTTCAAATTATCAGAGAAATTAACAATTTTGTTGGTCAACAAATGGAAGCAGTATTATGTCCGTATTAGTGACGTAGTGGTGCTCATAACATCAACCGCTCCACAGAGCGTCATGGAATTAATTACCCACAGTGAATATTCTACAGTATGACAAACGCAAGTCGCATTTACGTACGTGGGTTGTCTGTCCCTCGTGAAATTCAGTTGAAAGTCTCCAGCTGCTGTTCGGTACTTAGGGACGAATTCACCCGTCACAGATGCAAACATGACACTAGGGGTGGGGGTGGGGGCGTGGGTTTGATGATGATTCTAAGGGTGGGGCCCATTTTGTTCTGGGTAGGTAGGGGTCATCAAATTTGTAAACATGTACAAGGGGGTGGGGGTGTCAGCAATTTTGTACATATTTACTACAAACATTTTTTATTTTTATTTATTTTATTTTATTTATTTTTTTTTGGGGGGGGGCATTCACACTGTACATGCTTCTCCACAAGAATCATCATCATCCCTACCCCCAACACACCCCAACAACAAAAAATCCGTAATTCTAATGTGTTTCTAATGTCCAACTTGAACCAGGATGAGAGTGGGTAAAAATAAGTAAAACTTTAAAATTCGCTAAATATGTAACTGATTTTATGGGTACACACAAACAAATCTGGAAACAACAGCACAGTCCTTGTCGACGGTCAGATACGTTTGACCCCGAGCATGTGTGCAAAACTGTTGATGCCACGAAATGCGATAGTCATGCACTACAGTCACTCAGTATGGGTCAGTCGAGAACAAGTCGGTGTGTGCGTCTGATGTGACCTGCACTCGACAACTGTCCATCAGCATCCGCAGCGGATAACAATCAAACCATTCATCACTCCAGATTCAACGTTCACTAAAAACAGGAACTTCCATGACCTTTTGAGAATGGCCCGCGTATGATGCACGTGTGTAGAATCCTTGAACCATTCTCATTAGCCTTGCTCCAAGGCTGTACTGAATGCTAAGCCCATGGATGTATGGTAATTATGTCATTTAAAGATAAGATAAGATAAGATAAAGATAAGATAATATTTTATTTAAGTGCCACATGGTATATATTGCTAAAAAAGTGTCACACAGATAAAACAGTTAAAAAGTATACCATTCGGCCATATGGCCTACGAGACACTATCACAGATAAAATCGGACATAACAGTAAAAACACATGTATGCATATGCAGCACTGAAGTATAGTGTATGTTCTAACTCTATGACACCGGAACCATGGCAGCCCCGCACCCCCCCTCTCTGACACGCGCACATGGCCCGTTTAAAGAGGCATGTCTAGGTAAGCGGACAGTACGCCACTACGTTAGAGGTGTAATGTGTTCTAAGGACGCCAGTCTGTTATTTATTTTTTGAGAAACTTTCATTTAAACTATTAATTATTACCATATAGATTTGTGCAAGTCTACCTTCTCACGTACAAGTTCTGTGGGTGACCCTCTCAGGATGGGTATAATTTCAGTGTGAGACCCAGCCCCTTGTATCACGGACATTGACTGACAAGTATCGGACCAGGCACAGACCTGGGTGCCATACCTTAACACAGACTTATGGCAGTCTTAGCGCTAAGGTTGCTTTGTACACCGGTACCCTGGTCAATACAAATTGATCTTTCTTCTATTGCTTTTCAAAAAGACGTGAATTCAACTTTATCACGTTTAACGCTAAAATGCAGAATTGAATTTTGAAACTACGCAATTATATGTATATGTGGTTTGTGTGTGTGCATATATATGCGCGCGCGCCTGTGTGTATCTCCGACTTCTCAATGCATGTGCAGACAATGTTTCATGACTTGAAAACCTGAATTGCTCTCATTGGTTAAGTGCATCGAGTTACATATGATATCAAGTATTAACGATAATATTTTTATTTGATCAGTGAATATCGTTGAAACAACTTCTGTATTATGCATACACAAGCTAGGGTATTTTGCATTTACAGTCGAGCACCGTTGTCTCGATATTCATGGGACCAAGAAAAAATATCGAGTTATCCGAACTTCGAGATAACTCTATATCTGCGCAAGGTGGATAAACGGGGAGGAAATTGCCCTTTGACGCTCTGTGTTATGAAAGAGTTATTCTAGATTCCCCTCGTCACAGGAGACACAATGTAGTATAAACTGCTATATTTTACGGACGCTTCGTTTCTTGGTGGTGGTGATTACACTTTCTTGAATACTGGTGATGCAGTAAAATCTTATTCGATCTTATCTGTAATATTTATCATCTTTTGTATGTTGGTGAGGTGAAGTGAAATTGGCTTTAACGTTGTGCTTGAGAATATTTCGCTCATTTGACGACGTGCATGCGTGTGTATGTGTATGTGCGGCTGCTTGTACTAGCCCAGACTTAAGCTGGTTTTATAGTGCTAGCCCACTGAGATACCATGCCGCAGTGAAGCATGAATACCCCACTCAGACAGAGTATACTGACTCCAAGCCGACCAGTCCTTGTTGGACCCATTAATGTAATGCCAGACAGGGACCAACAAGTACCATATTTTAACGTCGTTTTGGTATGACGCGGTCGGGGATCGAACCCGCGACCTTCCGCTCTCCGGGCGGACGCTCTAACCACTACACCACGGAGGCAGTCCTGTATGTTGGTGAAGTGGTGTTGGGTTCTAAAGAGACTTGTCTTGTTGGCGTCACGCATGATGTAGCGGCATCACATTCATGTCTGCCTCGGAGTACGGACACGTTTGCTTGTTGTTTGTTTGTTTGTTTGTTTGGAGGAGGAGGATGTCCAGTTAATACTACCACTGAATCTTGATAGCGAGTGAGTATTCCTTTCCGCCGCTATATGCAATACCCCACGATTAACACGGCAGGTGACACCAGATATGGGCTTGACACATTGTACCATGTGGAGAATCGAACCCGTGACAATTGAAGGCATTATTCATGGGTTACCAGAACACCCCACTAAGCCTTAAAAGTAAATGGAAGTTTTGCATTTCTTCAAGGGTATCTATTTTAAAACATATAAGTTCATTTGGTAGTGAGTGTCCAGGTCTGGAATGGTTCTACAAAACACATTATATTATAAGTTTATTTCAAAACATATAACTTCATTTGACATGCCGAGTGTCCTTCACACAGAGGGACAAAAGTGTCCAGAAACAAAAGTGTCCAAAAGTGTCCGGTCCGCTAATTTGAAATAATTGGAGTAAAAGGGTAACAAAAGGGTCCAAACTATATTTTCTACATTCTACGGATTAGGATGAGGACCTCTTTGGTAGCACGCGAACTGACATCCACTAGTCAATCAACCAACTGGAGTAAGTCACACAAAAAATAGTTTCCTGAAATCAGAATTTATACGGACGTCTATCCAACAATTACATCAGGTGAACCTGTGTCACTCCTCGCCATACAGTGACGGTCTGCTTTAGGAAGAGCGTCCAGCCATGTGGACACTCTCTTTGGATACACATGACTCCTGACCGCCATCTTGGTTGACAGCGACAGGAAGTACTGGTTGGTGACGTCATACTGAGGCCAATCACGTCCAAGCTGGCCTTTTACTGCGGGATTGGGATCACTAGAACAGAAAATAGATTGATGATAGGGGTGGATCATTTTACATTACTCATAAATGAAAGAATTGGCCTTATAAAATTCAAATATTTGCACATGTGCATTATTTTAGCGATTCTCAGTGCTGATTGGTCAGTTTAAGGTATACGACGTCAGAATTTTTCGTTTTTCTTTACATCATCCATTGCTCGTCACAAATTGAGTTCAAAACGTCCTCTGAACTATAGGTTACCTTCAGTGAAATGTCTGGGGTGTCGACAATTTATACGGGTGTTTTCATTATTTGTTCTTTGCTGTTCTAAATTGTGTAATCTACAGAATAATATAATCGAAACGGATTTACGGATCTTCTGTAACTTGCATCTGTCAGTCATTCATTCATCCATCCAGTCACTCATTCATCCATTCATTCATCTATTCATTCATTCATCTATCCAACCACCATTCATTCATTTGTGACAGATATTCCGTAATTTATCGTTGTAAAAATCACAACAATGTTTTGGTTATTGGATGACTTCGGATATTAGTGACCGGTCTACAAACAAGTTTCACAATTTCTCAAGCCTCTCTCTCAAAAATGCGTAAGCTGGACAGTTAATCCCCATAATGTCAAGCCACGCGGGTACATTGTACAAGCATAGAAACATGGGTTGGCGCCCACCCTTTGTTAATCAGTGGCGAGGTGTGTCTAGATTATTTAGACGATTATGTAATTTAGATCCATTCCGCATAACAAGTAAAGTTTTTGTTTGGAGTAATGTTTCTGCTGTTTTAAGGAAACGGAATTGGAATTTTAGAGTGCACGTTTAATTTTCTGATCTTGGTCACCAACATTTTAATAACATACATGTTAATTATCATATTCCCTTTGTCGTTTCGGAAGTGACACGTAAATTATTTGATCGTTTTAACTCTTTTGGAAAAATTCTATTTCAAATGTAAATGGTACAACGAGCAATGGAGGTAATAAGTTAAGAACTTATACTACCTTTAAAGATGAATATCATCCTGAATTTTATTTATTTAGCCATATGCCTCGCTCTTATAGACGTGCTTTAGCACTTTTTAGATGTGGTGTTGCTCCTCTAAGAGTTGAAACTAGACGTTATGATTGTACTCCTCTAAAGGAAAGAACATGTTTTTACTGTAAAGATTTTATTGAAGATGAGTGTCATGTTTTACTGCACTGTCCGCTCTATTCTTTTGAAAGAGGTGTCCCTTTTAGTAAATGTGAGCAGCTTATTGTTAGTTTTATGTCTTTTAGTGACTTTGATAAGATCAGATTTTTACTGTCCAATCCACAAGTGTCTGTTAATACCACCAAACCCTGCTTTCTTATCTTGCGGCGACGACATGCCCTTTTATACTCTTAACTTGGTACTGTAAATGTGTATTATATATCCTATATTCTTTTAGTTTTGTATTTTATGTTATATAGTCTCTCATAAGTCTGTAAAGATTGGCTCAACGTTTTATTATTCCCTTCTATGTACATATGTATGATGTTGATGTGAAACTCAAATAAATTATCTGTCTGTCTGTCTGTCTGTCTAGAAAAACAAGAGAAAACAATTGTATTTAGTGTAAATTCTGGTCGGAGATGAAAACTTCACAGTGACCTCTCTGACATCGATATTGCTATATAATTATTTTTTTTGAAATTATCATACACCAAGCTGATGTCAGAGAGACGACACTTACCTTCTCTTTGCAAAGTTTGTATATATTGCAACAAACGTTGATGACAGATGATATTCCTCTTGGCTGACGTTGCTATGGTAACTGCTGAGAACATCCGCCGCACTAATCCCAAACGAATACATGAGATCACGCGCATGAACCATTCCTCTAAGACCACTGTAATTTGCCAGGAACGATGGAAAATGGTCAAAGAGATAGAAGTACGTTTTGCCTCGGTTTGTAAGACGACCGTGTGCGTTGGCCATTTCTACAGACGGTGCGACAATGGAAGCGTCACTCTGTGTGTTCATGACGTCATATAGCGTCAGGAGCTTCGTCTGAGGGTAGTCTTTGGCAACGTAGCCATTCATGATGACGTCAACGCTGCTTTTGTCAAATTTTCCACAGAGTCTCCCAAGGATTAGAGGAATCAGTTTTGTCTTGTAGTAACTCTGAGTCCGGATGGTGGTCAGAGCAGAAATGTTGTGGATCTGACCATACCTGGACGCCATCTTCACCATGTAACCCCCTTCCTGGTTGTTCACCCCCACCATCAGGTCAAGGTCATAGAACCCCACGCGCTCCAGGTGGGCAGGATCATGGATCATGAACCTCGGGTTGTCGATGACGAAGTCATGATCCACAACTGGAGACCAGGTAAAGTCGGCCGAGTAGTAAGCAAGGCCCAGATTCGGAATTGAATTCTGGACCAAAGTGGACACTGACATGTTTTGGAAGCAGTCCAGAAGGCCCTTGTCGGGTAGATCAACCCCCGGAGTATCGGATCCACATTTCACACGTTTACCAAGAGCAACAGCTACTTCTCTAGGATTGTTCCGGAATGAGAAATACCCTGTAGCAGATCCGCTTTGCATGATTACCTTCTGAAATAATCCCTTTGTCTTCGTTGAGAGGAAGAGATAGGATCCCGCTTTAGACCCTGCAGATTCACCGAAGAGTGTCACCTGGCTGGAATTCCCGCCGTAATCCTCAATGTTATCTTGAACCCATTGCAGTGCAAGCTTCATGTCCCAAAGGCCGTAGTTGCCAGGCAGGATGGCGTTTCCAGTGCTGAGGAAGCCGAGGACGTTGAGCCTATACTGCAGGGTGACGACCACGACGTCGCCTTCCGTCACCATCTTCCAGGGGTCGTACTTGACGGCTGACCCTGCCTGGAAGCCGCCCCCGTGGATCCACACCATCACTGACCGCTTGACCGTTGACGTCAGTGTGGGCGTGAAGACATTGATGGTCAGACAGTCTTCATCCTGGGCTTCGGAGCCTGGGGATAGAGGATTGGATGTCATGAACATGTTGAACACAGGGGTGATCAGTTGAGATGTTTGAATGGTATACTGATGGTATAAAATAACGGCACACCTTGTCACTAAAGTAGAACGATGTTTATTGTTGTGTTCGCTATTTTTAAAAAAACACTACATAGGCACTAAACTAAGGCACGGGGTAATATGAGAATATGGTCTGACTACATTGTGAAAGCAGCTCAAGTAAAATACAAGACAGTAGTAGTAGTAGTAGTAGTAGTAGTAGTAGTAGTAGTAGTACAAAACATTGTATAAGCAGTAGTAGACTGCGTCCGTGACCTAGTGAATGAAGCTTTGTTGTAATATTTGTTGTTAATCTGTCTTGCGTTCGGCATTAACAATTTAAATCCAAAATGGGCAACTCTCACAAGGCATTCACGTCGTTGTATGAACATTCCCAGGGTAGTTTAGGTGTAGTAGTAGCAGCAATAGTAGCAGCAGTGGTAGTAGTAGTAGTAGTGGTAGTAGTAGTAGTAATAGTAGTAGTAGTAGTAGACTCCGTCTTAATGCTTCTTAGATAATGCTTGAAGGAGTAACACTTTGCTCACTCACTCACTCACTCGTGATCGCACGCACTAGATAACGCACTCACACGTGCACTCATACCCTCATTAAAACACTCACTCACTCCACTACCCACCGTCCTTACTCACTCACCAATCACTCACTCGAACTCACTCACTCACTCACTTACCCAGCTGGGGACAAGCGGGACCAAATGCACTTGCTCTGAAGATTCCAGAGGGACCTTGTTTGGGCTGGGACTTCTTGAATCTGAGGTCACCGATAGGTGGCAATGCATACGGTATTCCCAAGTAGGCGTTGTACTTCCGACCTTCCGGGGACGTCTTTACCACCCCTTCAACTGTCCCCCACGATGAAGTCACGGTCGGTCCAGCCATAGTTAATGTCAACGGACACAGACACAGGACTAGCCATAAAGTAGACGCCATTGGTGACCTATATCTGACCTCGACAGAAGTTAAGATAAGAGATTACAGAATTCAAATGAGTAACCGTGCCATATTTTACCACTAGATCAGATTAAACGGTACCGTAATGCTGATACCGACTGTCAAATCCGCCTCATCGCCAATATATTCAATCTCGGTGTGGTCATCAGCGGCAGTGTTGGTTATTGTGGACAATTCACGTTTGGAAGCCGTGAAGATCCGTGTTAGAATTGGTCTTCAGTAACCCATGCTTGTCGTGAGAGGCGACTAACATGATTGGGTGGTCAGACTCGCATGGTTAACACAAGTCGTCATATACCAGTTGTGTAGATCGATACTCATGCTGTTGATCACTGGAATGTCTGGTCCAGACTCGATTATTACAGACCGCCGCCAGATAGCTAGAATATTGCTGAGTGCGGCGTAAAACTAAACTCACTCATTCACTCCATCACTTTGTTTTGTAGATCGATGATCAGGCTGTTGATCACTGGATTGTCTGGTCCAGACTCGATTATTACAGACCGCGCCATATAGCTGGAATATTGCTGGGTGCGGCGGTAAACAACAAACCCTGCCGCATACGGGTGTAGAAGGGTTACAGCTATTCTTGTTTAATACAATCATTTCGTGTGACGACCTGTTAATTTTCCGATACTTACAGTTAAGCCAGCTTCACTAAGACCGTGGTTATTCCATGTTACACATACTTACACTAATCGTAGCCCTTGGGTGCGTGCAGGGGCGGTGAGGTAGCCTAGTGCCTCGTCACGCCGAAGACCCGGGTTCGATTCCCCACATGGGTACAATGTTTCACTTCTGGTGTCCCCAGCCGTGATATTGCTGAAATATTGCTAAAAGCGGCGTAAAATTAGTCTCACTTCTTGTATGCGTGCGAGTGGACCTTGATGTGTTTCATGTCACACATTCTGAGGCCAATAGATGCTTCACACAATTGCATTTTATTGTCAAACATAACACAAAAGAAATAGTGCGGTTTGGCATATTTTTCAGCTTAAATAAATAAATAAATAAATAAATAAATAAATAAATAAATAAATAAATAAATAAATAAATAAATAAATAAATAAATAAATAAATAAATAAATAAATAAATAAATAAATAAATAAATAAATAAATAAATAAATAAATAAATAAATAAATAAATAAATAAATAAATAAATAAATAAATAAATTTACAAGACATGGCGAAATTCCAAAATCTGAAATGTTTAATAGCATGGGAGATCTGTATAATTTAATAATAATAATAATAATAAGGGCATTCAAAACAAATCATTCAAAATAAATACGTAATGCGACATTCAGTACAACAATTAATTCGCCTTATGGCGAAATTATATCACTAATTATGCAAATGTGTTTTGTTATTTATAAAATATGCCTCAAGGAACAGACACGTACTTCAATGAAATGTGAACGTATTTATCAAATGATCCTGGATAGTGTATAAAACGGACTTCCTGTATTTGAGTCTATGGCCTTTCACACAATAAACATTACAATTTGAATATGCAAAACAAACAAAGACACTTGAAACATCATTCCTTGGCAACTACGATTATGAATCTTAGCAACCGATATCTCTGGATCAGCGCGATGTATGTACACACAATAACGTTCACGTCATCGTCTTGTTCTAGGATTAGAACAATCGGCCTATAGTCAATAAAAACTATATACACATGGGGAAAAAGGAGATGAACAACATCCGGGCCAGACCGGATATTTGCATCAAGGGATACAACCAGGTCAGTGGTATACTGCATCCTTGAACCACTAGATGTACGACGTCTGTGCTACACTGAAGACTTAATCCGCCAGATGCACGAAGTCAGTGATAGACACACTGAATCCTTGAACCACCACACGCATGAGACAAATGATAGCCGGCATCCTTGATAAACCACACGCACGAGACAAATAATATACTGCATCCTTGATCAACCACACGCACGAGGTCAGTGGTATACTGTATCCTTGATCAACCACACGCACAAGGTCAATGATATACTGCATCCTTGATCAACCACACGCACGAGGTCAATGGTATACTGTATCCTTGATCAACCACACGCACAAGGTCAATGAAATACTACATCCTTCAACCACCAGCCGCACGAGGTCAATGATACACCGCCCCCCTTCAACCATCAGAAGCACGAGCAAATGATATACTGCATCCTTCAACCACCAGACGCACGGGGCAAATGATATACTGCATCCTTCAACCACCAGACGCACGAGGTAAATGATATACTGCATCCTTCAACCACCAGACGCACGAGGCAAATGATATACTACATCCTTCAACCACCAGACGCACGAGGCAAATGATATACATTCTTCAACCACCAGACGCACGAGGCAAATGATATACTGCATCCTTCAACCACCAGATGCACGAGGTCAATGATATACAATGATATCCTATTGCAGACGCCCTTACGGTAGAACACAACCCTTGCGTCAACTCGTATATTGGGTGAAACCTTCCACTTCTTCCAAAGATTATGTGGATACTTCAGGAATGAAACTTTGCGTTCATCTGATCTTGACTTCATACTCAGTCTTCAACTCACACGATGCTGTAAGTGGATAAATCCAATCTCGTCAGCATCCTTCGTTCAACATATCCTTCAGCTGTGCCTGCATGTTGTACGTACGTCCTTGGTGTTTCAGAACTTCATCAATGGACGAATTAGGCTGCAGTTGCTCAGAGCTGCTTCTTCGGGAATGACGCGCGATGTTATCGAACGACCGTCTACCGGCGTTCGACCGTTGAGGTCCACGGTCAGCCACAACGTGAGGTTCATTAGCAGTGACGTTGACGGTGTCCGTGAAGCGTACGTTCCGACCTTGACATTTCTTCTTGTGTTCGACATACTTCTGCACCTCACTGTCCAGCTGGAGACTTCTCCACGGGTTGTTAGCAGGATAGAGTCTCTGGACGCTGTACACTTCACCAACAAGAGGCTTGTAATGGGGTATCCTGGGATGGAATGTCCTTCCTGGTTGATAATGGAATTGCGTACTTGACGATCTGAAGCTGTCAGCGGACTTTCCAATAGGTCTTGCGCCATGGATAGTTGTCCCTATGAATCCTACAGATGGCAAACTTGGTGCAATACTCGATGTTTCAATTTCCCTTTCACTGCCATCGTCAGAGCAAGGGATGAAATTGGAATTTTGGTCAGTTTGGGTTCCTTTTAGCAGTTCATCAGCAAATCTGTCGGATACTAGAACGTTTGACTTACTTCTGCAAAACCAAGGAGGAATTTCAGACCATTTAGCATATTCCACAGCATATCTTGGGTCGATATAATCCGACCCCGTCACAGACGCCGGTAGACAAGGAGCTGTTGCTTTGGGAGTTCGGAATCTGGTAACGAACGGTCGCTCACCATTTTGCAAAGGTCGAATGTTCATAGTGGTGCTCAAAGCTCTTTCTGACACTCGAGACTGGAGTTTCCTATGAAATCTGGTCCCAGGAGCGAAAGATATCCGTCCAGTCTGTACACTGTACGTAGCTGATGGGTATTTCACCAGACTGAGGGGCGTTGAAGGATGCCTTGATCCTGCCTGCATTGTCGCTGACGGCTTCCTTGAGACTACTAAAGTGGACATTATTTAAATCTCCCTCTAGCTGCAACCTCAACCCCTCATCACTCGTCAAATGGCGATAACTTATAATCACGACGGCCTCCACAGTTCGACACGACAACGTGACTACAAAAGCATGATATAAATTTCAACTCGGCATTTCACACACCTATTCAGACCCGACGTGGTCTAGCTCACCCAGCACTGAGTAAGTGAAATCTAATGATCTCACAACAACAAAAACTGAGAATAAGTAACGTGAATAACCCCGTCTGGTCTACCCATAGTACCGATACACAAACAATCAACGAAAGGGAAGTAACTGGTGTAAGTCGGGCGTGTAACAAATATTGTCAAAAGATCGATTGAAGCAGACGACAGTTGAGAGCGCCCCCTAACGGCTCCGTGTAAACAGGTCCCGTCATTTTCATTATGCCTTTATCCGTTCCTGATACGATTCTTTCAAAGCTCCAGTTAGGATTTCTTCTTAAGTTCGTAATCGCCTTGTTGGGTGAACAATTGCCGATTCATGTGCGAAAAACGACCATAACAGATTAGTGTGAAAGAAAAATCTGATTTACAAGAGGCTATACGCGCCCGTTATTGAAGTGGGCAAGGTAAGATCGTATAAAGCAATAGGTCTTACAAATGGTTGTGTGCTTGTCTCGTTGGGGCTATTGTACTCTGTTGAGTAAGTGAGATTACTAAGCAATACTAATTACTCTTATATTATCCTTTCAGTTTCAATTGTTGGTTTAATACATTTGCATGCTTTGAAGCCATAATGTTAAGTGTTACATTGACATAAGTAATTAATTCTGCAAATCCGGTAATGGAATGTAAGGATATACGATTAGCAAATGGAATATCTGTTTGTTTCATGCCACATTCTTGCTGCATTACTGCCTGTTAATATTCGAGTTTAGACCAGACAATCCAGTGATTGATATTAGGAGCAACGATGCACTCTGTGGGGATTCGTTGATGTACTGTCAACCAAGTCACCAATCCTAACAACCCAATACTCTGTTGCCCAGGGCAACACGCATACGTTGCTAGGGATTAGTTTCCTTGAATGTCACAGATTTCGAAATGATTACACCAGATGTGTTTGAGAAGAAAAGGTAACGGATATTAAAATGTGTTTTAAATGTCATCGAATCAAAACGAATAAATTATAATTAGAAACTTGCGTGAACGATTTACTCAAAATAGGTATCAGTGAAATGAGGTTCTGATTTTCATCGTTTTCATGCGAACACCGGGGGATGGGGTAGCCTAGTGGTTTAAGCGTTCTCTCGTCACACTGAAAGCCCGGGTTCGATTCCCCACATGGGGACAATGTGTGAAGCCCATATATGGTGTCCCCTGCCGTGATGTCGATGGAATATTGCTAAAAGCGGCGTAAAACCATACTCTCACTCACTCATGCATACATTGTACACCATTAACCTAAGATAGAACATCCTCGGCCATCCAGGGAAATTCATCCACAGTCTGTTGTATTAAATACCCTGGATCCATAGCTTTGTGACGTCCCCATTTCTAAATTGCTCTAATCTTATCAGTAATGTCGCACAGAATGCCTCTGGCTCGTGCGTTATGTCTTCTAAATCGGGCAAATGGGTCCAGGTGTTTGTCGTTAATAGAAAGGAAAGTTCACACTCTGGAAAACCGTTAATGTGATGTAACGGTAGTGTCATATTTAGTGTGTTTGTTTCATAGTTTACAGTCATCCTTAACATTTGTTGAGCAGTATATACGGTTGCTCTTGGCCATAAGCTTAATAGGGTGCTGCTTGTATAATGCGTTAGTAATAGAATTCGGATAGACAGTATGTAAAACCGATCTAAAGGAGAGATGGTGTGGTGAGATAGGGTTTATCATGGAGTTCAAGATAACGGCACTTACATAGCGCAGTGCATGCATGTGTGTTCCTGTCTTCGTATGCGTGTGCATATATGTGTGCGTGCGCGTTTGTGAGGCTGCTGATGGCACTGAGGGTCGGTTTAACAGAGCTAATCCCCTGATACCCCAGACACAGTATATCGACTCCAAATTCCCTTATTACCAAGAGCCAGACAGAGCAACCACAAATACCATATGTTAAAGTCAATTGGTTTGACGTGGTCGAGATCCAACCTCCGACCTTCCTCTCTCCGGGCAAGAACTCTATCCACTACACCACGGAGGCGGGCATCGATCCATTCATCGTCTGTTCTCTGGTTAGAAGTCCTAGCCTACTTACACAGGAGGCAGGGATCGAACCAGTGATCTTACATCCTCCGGACAGACGCTCCATCCACTACGCCAACGAGGCGAGGACTGAACCACTGACCTTTTGCTCCCTGATCTATCCACAACACAACGACCGCCTCCGTGGTGTAGTGGTTAGAGCGTCCGTTCGGAGAGCGGAAGGTCGCGGGTTCGATCCCCGACCGCGTCATACCAAAAGACGTTAAAATATGGTACTTGTTGGTCCCTGCCTGGCGCTCGGCATTAATGGGTACAACAAGGACTGGTCGGCTCGGAGTCCGTATAATGTGTCTGAGTGGGGTATTCATGCTTCACTGCGGTATGGTATCTCAGTGGGCTAGCACTATAAAACCAGCTTACGTCTGGGCTAGTACAAGCAGCCGCACATACAGATAAACATGCATGCACGTCGTCATATGAGCGAAATATTTTCAAGCACGACGTTAAACCCAATTTCACCTCACCTCACCTCACCTCACCTCACCTCCAATACAGAACGGAAGCGGTCTCCATACATAACATAAATATTTTACATTTATATATTTTATTACATCTTTCAGAGTCAAGTGCTTGTGCAAGTTAGAATATTAATAGCATGAATACAATGCGATGTAGGAATGATCCTGAGAATCTATGCACGACTTACTTGATTGACAATGCTGAAAGAATGTAAAAGTAAGTTTCACAGAGGTGATGGAGAGCTTTAGAAAACTACAGGGCCTCTATAAAATATACATGTAAACCCTTATATACTCAAGCACAGAAATAACTTTCATGACTATATCAAAAAATGAAAATTAATATGAAGATATTGACCTTACGGCTTTTCAAGTAATTATCGATACACACCCTATCAAGACAAGGGCAGTGACTTGTCATTCTAACCAAGTGAATTTCGATATTATACAAACCACTCACAATACACAGTGTTTGTATATATGAAATAAATATAAAATACTACAGTGCACAACTTGTATAATCATACCTTAATTCAGTTTTACTGTGGAGTGGTCAAAAAGTGGTCAAAAAGAAAGTCAAGCATCAACATTTTTTTTCAGTCTTGAAATGATGAATATATCAAACCACGATAAAAGACAATCATTTAAAAAAATTAAATTGAATTTTAATTGGTTTTAAACTGTATAAGGCCTGTTGGGTGAAAAATATAGGAGTTGACGCATACGGCCTTCTCAATAAGCGTAACATCGTGGATTTGTTTTGTGATTGAGTATATAAGATTTATAAATGAACCACAAAATGTTTACTACATATATCGGTGATGTTTTTATACGTGTACAACACAGAATTGGATGAAGTATATTTACAACATTCTCAGGTACGTGTAACGAAAACATTCTAGGTTCTATGTAACGAACTGTCTATTGGACAAGGTTGTCGTAAAAGTAACGACTCTCGGAAAGCCGAGGCTCATTCGACAAGAACCTTGTTGGTCTGTTGATGGATAAATCAGGGACTGTGTCAACTGCGACTAGATTAATGATGTCATACAATAAAAATTGCAATTAATGTGTCTTGTCCTGATTTATTGGTCTGTCGTCTCTCGGTGATCGAACAGTATATAACACCGCTGTAGTCGTCCGTCATCGCCCTATCACGTCGATCGACTGTGTAACAAATTGTACAATCGGCAAGTAAAGTCTGCTCCAGGTTCGGTGCATTGTTCTATACACTGGTTAGCTAATACCAAATTGACTTACGTAAAATATGTGAATCATTTTTGTCTTAGCAAGGCCCTGTGTGGATTCTGGGTTGGAGTTAGTCCCAAGCAACCTGTTTGCCGTACGAAGCAACAGAATTATCGCTGATATTTTTCATAATCGAACCCGGTGACGTGGTTATAATATCGATCACGGGTATATCCGGTCCAGACCTAATTATAAACAGACCGACGTAATTTAGCTGTGATATTGCCGAGTGCGACGTTAAACAGAAACAAAGATGACTCCGTTATCAAACCGTCCTTAAGTTAATACGTCCGTGACCATTTTGTCGGAAATGTCTGTCAGGGGATTAGAGATGGATCTAGGTACTTATCTCCGCTACCACACAGTAGAGTGGATGTTAGGATCCGATTTCCGTCCGTAAACAGCGAACTAGAAACCCAAATACAGATCTGTTCGATGTTATTGAGGTATGTTTTCATGACATAATCCTTTCTTCAATGTTCTTGATCTACCCTTTTCCCCTCCCCAGTCAGTTTCCCTGCCACAAAGCAGGCGAAGGGCAACCACTCATGTACCCAGTGCTGTCAAGGAAACATGTGGTCCAGTTGTGGAAGGTGCATAAACAGTGCGCCAACAAGACATGCAAGGGACCTGTGATAGGGGTTTCGAATTCAGGTTCGCCCAGTTTAAATGTCAAGACTTTTCAGCACAACAATAAATCAAACACATAGAATGTACGATCATATACATCTCAGCTTGCCACTTATTTTCCTAAAATTCAGTTGTTTTCTTCTTATTGATAATTTCAAGATGTTTCTTTCAATGTGGGTTGGACTCATTCCAGATCGGAATGCTCTCATCGGACTTGCATTGAAGCTGCGTTACGTGGGGTTTCTTATTTCAGAAGAATGTAAATCAGAGTATCCACAAGACTGGGTTCAAACTATGGGCGCCTAGGTAAACGATAATATCCAACAGTCTATGCTTGAAATCCACCCAGTTAATTAGGAGTGGAATTGTCCGATGAAGTTCTCAACCTTCAGTATGGGTTTCTTTGCCAGATCATTGACTGGCAATTACCAAAGAAAATCCATATCATTAAAGAGACTATAATTACTAATCGAAGTTGATGTCACTTGATTGAGGAAATCGCTCAGTGCAGCCAATAACTGTCCTAAGGTAATGTGTGCAGTTCCGTGGCAGTTAAAGATGACTAGTGGGCTTGTTTGATTCATATGGTTAAAAAAACCTAGTCCCTTCCCAAACAGCGGACATATTCAGTCAGCTAATGATTACCCCACACAATGGGGGCAAGTTTCAGTTCGACACACACGACACTAATGACAACGTCTAAACAGACTGGAAATGGGTATTCCAGGGTATTCCACGCAAAGAGTCCTCAGTGCTGTTGCTTCCAAGTAAACAGCTTGTAGCCCTCAGCTCATAATGCATCATCGAGAGATTCACCTCGACCATCAGAAGTTGTGTGGGCGATTCTAAACCTACTCCACTTTTCTCCTAATAGATTCGTCAGGAACACAAAACGTTACATCCAAGATTCTTCATGAAAGAAAATTAATTCAGTTAGAGCTGTACTTGTCATACAGGCTCTTCCAGCAATCCAAGGACAGACCATTCGAGCTGACTTGGGATTACTGCATTTCAAAGGCATGCAAGTTGTTAGGTTGTTAGTCCCTGTAAATGGATAAGAAAACCAGACTCAGCTTATGTGTGGTTGGCTTTATTGACAGGAAGACAATATATACAAATGCAAAACACAGTTGACATGACGATCCTCCTGCACAACCACATATATGTTAGTTAATCGGGGCCAAGGAGAAAGTAGTCATATGAGTGACGGGAGCTTTCAGAGACCAGCTGAAAGACCTGTGAGACTATGTCACTACAAGATAGTGCCATGTCGGGAACAGTTTTAAAATCAAATGGTTGTCTATCACATCTCAAATAAAGGCAAGGACATGTCTGTGACTCCTTCATCACTGACTTAATACCGAAACCATTTACTACCCACAAAAATCAGCAAGCAAAAGCTGGTAAATGTATCAAATGCTTTCAGTTTTCACTATATATAATATTTTAGAACTGGCCAAAAATAATTTTCAACAGCAGCTGTAAATCTACGGCAATCCCAACATGGCAATCTTCAAGTTTCTCCATTTTCATTTGAGACTTCGGCAGAACCAGGGGGGCATCCAAGAATGGCCAGGGGTCAATATTTTGATTTTTCAAATTTGATCATTTATTTACTGTAGGGAGAAGAGCTAGTAAGAAAGGGGATCTACTTCGTTGAGTGAAAACCCGTTTCTAGAGATAACCAAACAACCAAAATCCTAGATGCCCCTCTAGACTTGGCAGTAGAAAAGGAATGAACACCATTAATGTTGAAAAAGAAATTAAGATACAAATTTCACAAGACAAAAAGTGGTAGAAATATATAAATTTGATGAGCAAAGCATGTGAAGAAAAATCAAAGAAAGCACCAGGTGTTGACACACAATTTCAGGATTTGGGGAATGAGACAACTTTAGCCTTGGCCCGACATGAAGCAGAGAGCACTTTAGGATGATTTCATTTGAAGTTTTTCAAGTTAACAATTAACATAATGTTCTGGAGCACCGACTAATCCTACATTCCAACTAGTACCCTGTCTAATGTAAGTTTGTATGGAGCCAATGATACCAAAGACTTTTTAACTTTTTGGCACAAGTATTTTATCGGATGAGGATTAGTTTATTAGTAACAGTCTAATTGCATCAGTAACTTCAAACACTACCACCAAATATTGTCAAAGTATAGATGCTACATTGCAGAATATTTTGTTGAAATAATTTCAGGTTACAGTGATTTATTTAAAATCTACAATAAATTAATTAACGTTGTGATTATAGGTCAGAAACTAACACATGACAACAAACCTTCAATGATAACTAGCTAATGATGATAAAATCAAGGTATGACTCACTGCTTCATGAAAATCTAGCAAAACCATATAGTTTACGATACACTGAAAAGGGTGCGGTTTACATCTCTGAACATTGCTAATGATTCCATTATGGGGTATTCACAACCAAATCACCCTTTTCCGAGCATCTAGATAGTAATCATACGAATATCTTCACAGTGTATTCACAACAATCTAAAACTTATATCTTAACACATTTCTTGATATCACTCTATACGACAACTACGTAACAAAGTAAATTCTCACAGTGTGTAGTGACAATATTTTTCACAAAACTTTGCACCGTAGAAGAAAAGAATGAAGTCTCATTATTCCACAAAAAAATCTTCCTAATACATGTATAAAAAGGATATAAGACACAAATAGTCTAAAATTTAAAATTTAAAATCCAAATTTCTAAAGCCACACTATACCAAACCGGAATGTCAACAAAATGTACATCTAAAATCTTCAAGTCTGGTATAATGCTTTAGAAACAACTGTCCTGTTTCGTAGGATAATTATCACACAGTGTACAATAATTAATAATAAGACTCATAATAATGTCATAATATGAACCAACGAGAACAACCAATTGCAAGAGGGGACACATGTGCGAACAAACACTTGAATTTAAGCAGGCAGACACACTATGAAGAAGCGACACAGGGGATATCTACAGGATAAGCTGCAATCGGAGAATGACGGCAGTTCGTTGGATACATAGTGATGAGACCATTATACTAGAACTGTATTCACATTCATCAGTCAGCACAGTCGATCAGAAGCAGTAATGTTACCACTTTCGTTTCAGTCCTTGCCCTGCGGCAGACACACTTTGACTTTTTTTAAATGTATCGACTTTGTGAGTTGGTGGATCAAGCCCAGTCAAGCGCGTATCTTTGACTAAATTTCACAATTAAAGCCTTTTAGTTCAAAGAGATTTTTTTTCAGTATAATAATAGAATGGTCTCTCAAAATCCAAGATTTGAATGGTCCCATTCCAAGTCCTGTCCGTTTGTTGGTACCTTCGGTGGCTCTTCGTCAGAACTTTCTCCATCATCGTGGAAACTGCTGCCATCATCGTCGCTGTCGGATTCGTCTCTCAATGACTGCATTCCATTATCTTCATAATCAAAAACCTGAAAGCCAGAAATACAACATATAGAACTAACTCAAGATAAATGCTAAAATCATTTCCAAAAATTCTATATCAAGTTTTAGTGAAATAGTAGAGGTAGGTGTTCAGAGTTATCTCCCCTAGACCAGTCAGCCTGGTGCCTCACCTCTTGTTCCATGGGGTTGACAGTGATGTTGAGTGCTGAGTTGTCCCATTCCATCTCACATTTTTCATCCACCTGCACAACCTGGGTACGTCTGTGTGCTGCCCGGATGCGGATCACTCCCAGGATGATCATAAAGAGGAGGAAACCCACACAGACAACGATGATGGCTGCCATGCCGAAGTCTGCAAGATACAGAGGAATATTTAAAATGGGCTTTGACTAGTCAGTGGTATTCAATATGATCAAGAGCTATTCAGCTTGAAAAATGAATTGACAATCGTCAAAAGTAACCGATATTATTCAAATTTCATATGTAACACTGTGTCAGGGATTGGGAAAGGCAGGGGTCATGGGCCATTTTGCACATTAGAATAAAAAAATGCCCATTAAAATTTTTAAGTTTACTATTGATACAAGGGCAGTGGCCCATTCTAACTTCAGAAAATGGCTACTAATCCTGAAAATGGCCCATTGTCAAAGTTCTCTGCCCCAATCCCTGCTGTGTGAAGCTTTAAGTCAGTCAGCAGTATTCCAGTTGCATGACAGGGAACAGCGATAATCAAGTATGGACCAGACAATCCAATCAAGAGCATTACTCCATTCAAATGGGGGAAATCAATGATCAAGTCAACCACCTGATCCTTTCAGTTGTCCATTACAAGATTGAGTTGCATAAACATCAATGCTAACCCAGATCTTCACCAGGATACTGGATACTGAACACAGTTAAATCAACTTCAATGACTGCACTGATAATTAAAATGACTTCAAAATTCAGTTATATTTTCTTCTATGTTATATGGAAAAGTGTTTGCATAAGCTGGCTTGTTAACTGATACCCATTTCTTGTATTTTGGAAATAAAAATATGATTAAACCACCTAAAAATTCAGTTCTTCAACAATAAAGTGGTAGGCAGTTCGGTACTTACTGGATGAGGTAGCCACAAACTGCTGAGCACTGGCTGATTTGACGTTCTCCAGGGCGTTCCTGACTGGGGCAGAGGCTGCAGCCTGCTGAGCATTGGCATGAGCTTTGACCTGGGGTACCTCGTGGACAGCAACCAGCTGAAACAAGAACACATTGTAGCTATGATAAAAAAGCAGGCTCATCTGTACAAGAATGAGTGAGTTTAGTTTTACGCCACACTCAGCAATGTTCCAGCTGTATGGCGGAGGTCTAAATAATCGAGTCTGGCCAGACAATCAAGTGATCAACAACATGAGCATCGATCTGCACAGTTGGGACCTGATGACATGTGTCAACCAAGTCAGCGAGCCTGACCACCTTATGACAAGCATGGGTTACTGAAGGCCAATATTCTAACCCAGACCTTCACGGGTCTCATCTGTACAAGAAGTGTTGGTTTGCATGAAGTGTTTTGTTTTCAGTGCTATCAGTAAACAAAGGAAAGTCAACATAACAGAATACAATGTCTAACAAAGCAAACAACTGCATTGACAACTTCTTTGAGAGGCATTTAGAGGTTGGAGCAGTAAGGAAGGATAACAATATCTTGCTTGATAACGGTGTTAGAACCTACACCCGAAACATCGCTCTCACAGCAATAAAGAAGTTGTTCATCCATATATTGTTATCCTTCCATACATTGATAACTTCTTGTTTACTGCACAGAACAATGATCTGGTGTAGATTCTTACACCATTATCAAACTTATAGTGAATACAACTAAGTGAGTTTAGTTAACACTGTTTTTAGCAATGTTCCAGCAATATCACGGCAGGAGACACCAGAAATGGGCTTCACACATTGTACCCATGTGGGGAATGGAACCCAGACACTTGATAACAAGCTGCACATATCTAAATTGAGTCCAGGTGGAGTGGAGAGTAAAGAACAACAAATCATGCAGCCATGGTCACTCTATGCAATAAACAAGAAGTTGTTATCAATGTATCTCTGACAGGTATTGACAAGTTGGGAGAAGATGAAGACATGTTTATAGGTAACAACAAAATTATTAAAAATAATGTGGAAGGGTTACTTGTTGCCCAATCATCAGCTGATTCTGGTATAAACCATTCACCTGATGATGAGGAAGAAAGTAGCCCTGAAACATTGTTACAAACAAATTGCTTGCCATAAGGTTGTCTCTTCACATAAAATACAGCCAAACTAGACTTGACTTATTTTCAAACACAAATATCTCAAATTACTTGTGTATATATTATCTGAAGCACACTACTTGTACAAAAAATTATTTGGCAAACCAGATACACTCCGGCAAGAGTTCCTTAGGTACGCCCCACCTAATGTTTAACTTTAAACTATAGACTAAACTATAGTGCTTGCTCATCACAAAAATAGGCGGGGGGTACGTAAGGAACTCTTTCCTATAGTCCATACACAAAACCTTACCAAAATTATGAAAACAGCCAAAGTATTCATGTTTAAAAACAGAGATTATGCCAACAAGACAATTTTGCTGTGGCGGTCTATAATTCAGTGTTCCCTGGATAAAGAGGTGCTTGTCGGTGCAATAAGAGGGACGACCTGGGTTTAAATGATCAGCTTTTGAGTCGTGCCACTCCAGGCAATTAGGTCAAGCAGCCCTCAACAATAGGCAGGTGATTAGCTGGGCTGATTGACAGAAGCTCAGACCCTGACACAAGCTATTATGTTGCACACAGCCTGGCTTACATAGGGCTGGCTATTGAGTCTCCACTCAACACTGAGTGACATTTGACAATAAGGGCACCTGTTTAGAGTAATACAACCAGCTAATGAATCTAGGTGAACTGAAGTCAAAACTAACCCAAGGGATTTATGTAGGACACAAAACAGTAAGTGCCCAAGACAGGCAATGTTAGAATAGAACTGTTCAGTTCAAAATATTTGTTTCTCTAATGTTCTTTTTTTCAAAGATACAATAATTATGTTGTCATTGCATGGTGTAAAATTCAACTATTTCCTTTCCTGTCACAATAACTAAGACATTGCAAAAGTCGACAATATAAACACTGAGGAGTTAGACATTCACATTTGGGAATTTTACTGATGTTTGGTGCTAACTTGGGACCAATATCAGCCTCATAGTTGGTCCAGAATTCATTCACATCAGGGCCATAACATTTACAAAGGAAAAGGGTGACATTTTAGTCAGTACGGTTTTACACCGTTTTGGGGAATAAATCAGAAACATGATCACAGGAGACACCAAAAAAGGCATTCACAATTTATGTTGCTGACCAAGATTTTTAATGGTTTCCTTGAACATTGTCTGTTACACATTGTGAAATAATATTACACTGATATGCTCAGCAGTCTGGTCATTTTCCTTAACTACCCTACAACTCTGACACCAAACAAATAAAAACACTTGTGTCCTGTCATGTCGGTTCAACAGAAGATAACGTTGTTTATATAAACATGTACAAGATGCCTCAACGAAAACAGTCATGAAAAGACGAAAGTGTGGATGTGACTTCAATCTGTAATATCTTCTGTGTGTGCACATTTACCTGCCACTGCTTTAAGGACATTGAAAGATAAAGTATCCACTGATTATGAAGAATCAGACAATTACCTCCGACTAGGTAATAACTGAACTGTCAAAAACACAGCCATATATATTCCTAAGATTATATCCACAATAAGGATGTTTATGTCTTCAAGTCCCAACTTGCAGCCTGTCAGTAGATATTGTACAAAATATCAGCTAATCTTACTCAAAGAAATTCACCAGACAAAATTAGGTGAGATGGGGAAGTGTTTATGATGCTTGCACTCATACAGCAATGTGTGTTTGTAGGTATCCAAATAACTGTTTAATAGTGCTAGCCAATGAAGATACCATGGTACATTTAACTGACTGACTGAGTTTAGTTTTAAGCCGCTTTTAGCAATATTTCAGCAATATCACGGCGGGGGACACTAGAAATGGGCTTAACACATTGTGCCCATGTAGGGAATCGAACCCGGGTCTTCGGCGTGACGAGCCAACGCTTTAACCACTAGGCTACCCCACCGCCCCTGGTACATTTAAAGGACACAAGGACCACTCAGACACATTTTTCCAGATTTCAGATTTTCAGTCATTTTGTTATGCCCCAAAAGCCTGCCTTTTCTTATTACACAAGGGATCAAATCCTGACCTTGGACTCGCCTTGCAAACACTGTATCCACTCAGTCAGTGAGGCGACCCTGTATACATGGCTTCACACATGAGGATGAAGTCACATATTGTCACAAACAATAGCCGAGTGACCTGCACAGAACAAAAACACAGGATCTGGAGGTGGACTTACCTTGACGGTGAACTTGTTGGAGACAAATCTCTGGTTCTGTGAGGAGCAGGACAGGGTCAGTGTACGGCTGTTGAGGATGTCAGGCTGGTTGTGGTAGTAGTGGATGTTGCGGATCACACCAATGTAACGCTCCATTTTGTCAGCATCTGTAAAAAGTCACAACTTAAATATTCCTACAAATATCAATCGATTTTCTCCAGTTAGGTAAGACAGATTTCTGTAAACCCTAAATGCCTATTCATTAAAAACATTACTTGAAAGATCCCAAATTATAAATACACAATACTATTATCCAATGACCATACAAATGTAATGAAGCGTACAACTTCATGTATAACGACTTCTTTGTTTATTGGATAGAGCAACGTCAGGGTGATATCCATAAAGTCGTATTCTTCATCACTGATGCACCAACCTCTCGGAAAGCTGAGAAAACAATTCACACAAATATCCATGTCAGCAGCATCTACTGCAATAATCTACAAAAGGCGCGCATCTTATCCAGGGGTACTCATTCAGCATGTCGTGTTATGTCACAACCACGTTCACAACCAATCCACATTCAAATCTCCCCGATCACTGTGTAACAATTACATGCATGGTTACGTGGATGAGGAGTCTGACATACTTGTGACAGTAACTCCATCGTTGGTTTCACTCCACTCAAGTCCGAGGTTCTCCATCATGTGTGTGGGCAGAGACAGGTGCTCAAAGAACAGGTTGAGTGGTGGGTCGGCTTGGATGGTGCAGGAGTCAATCAGGATACCATCCTTCAGGTTGGTCTTGGCTTCAGTAGATTCTGGAAACGTTTACATACAAAAGTCAGATCAGTCTTCAAGCTGACAATTCAAACAGTTATCACTGAACGCGAGTGAGTTTTATTTAACTCTTTCAACACCAGTCAACCAGAGGCATTTACTGCCATGACACCGAGTTCCCAGAGACTCTGAGGTCATAGATGAAGCCTATGTTTGTGAAGGAAATTATAAGCTTGTAAAACGTTATTGCTACTACATCCCATACACCATTTAAAAGATCTAATCCTACTGTTGATAAATATGAAGTTTATTTTTATAATATTATTCAAATAATACAACTACAACTTAAATAAATTTATATTTGAATGAAAATGCAAGCTTACATTTGTAACGTCCAGATAAACCACGAAAGGAGCAAAAACTATGGCGATTTTTTCCATTTGTGACATGTCATAAATTGCCCGTGCCTTTTTTCTTTTATATTTTTTCATTTTACGTAATCAGAAAATTATTATAAAAAGATTTCTTAAACAATATGTATGGTCAGCCTATTTCCCGATATCTGCGGCTTTCCGCTCGGTAAAATGACATAACAACTGAAAATACCTCCGTTTTGAAGCTTTCAGATGAATAACATGCTGCAAATCGTTTGATGTCGGGCATCGCTCAAAGCTCTGAACATCAACAATATCACTGTACCCTTGCCAAGAGTATTTTCACAGTTGTAAGAAGCGATTTTATTGGATAAAGATTGGTTTCTAATGACGCTTTTCGCCACAGTCTGCTATAAGGGTTGTGATTGGTCAAAATCAGACACGTGACCTAAGGCAGCCAATCATATTACGGCAATGGATACCGTCCCTCGAAAACTAAATCTTTTAGATTTGGACAAAAGTTTTGGGTAAAATAATGCTTTTCTGAACATATTAAGCAAGAAATCGCTACCAATACGTAAATTATGGAACTTATTGGACGATCGTACTAGGTTATGACCTGTGACAAAATGCTTCATGTATGTATTTTCAAGCATTAAACATCGTGTCCGAGCGTGAAGATTGAGGCGGCGAGAGCCGAGATGTCACTTGTCAGTGACTTGATTTGCATTACATGATCGCACAAAAAGATGGAAATAGTAATTTTATATGTAAGTTTGACAACTTTTATGAATGCTGTTGTTGATTTTATTCATTAGTTTATTCAATTTATTTAATAATTTCCTCGAAACATCGTTACTTTGCTCTTTGACAATGTTATTGTGGACCCGCTGCCGAAGCATGTGTCCGAGAATCGTTGTTTTCAATAATATTGCGAAAAATAGTTTATAATTTTAATTCTGCTGATAATATATGATAAATTGAAATTTAATAAGTGTTTTCAGACATTGTGAAATGTGATAGATTTGATATATGAATCAAAAGTCAGGTAGGTTCCTAAAATTATGTCTCATTTTGACGTGACTACTGCCTGGCCGATTAATCGGCCTCCGGTGTCTGGGGACTCATAACGTTGTGGCCGATTATTCGGCCTGCGGTGTTGAATGGGTTAATGCAGCTTTGAACAGTGCATCAGTTTTACGACAGTTGTCAACTTGATATTGGAGGAAATACCACAGGAATACATGTGTCCAACTTTGGCTATTTCTGTAAAGCACACAAGATTGTACCGTGCTGACAAACTTGGAAACATAATGAACATAATTCTTGGATTCAAACTTGTGAATTCCAGAGCCTTAAGGCACGTGGGTCAACTCTGACTCTAAGCATTTCAGAACTTCACAAAGTTCATCATCACTTTTCTAAGATAACTGCACATACAAAGACCGTTTTGCTCCTAGATGACAACGTTCTGAGAGATGAAGATCATTCTGCTAACTACTTACGGTGCACCATGGACTTGGACAGTTTGTATGCAAGTTTTGTAGCCTTGTCCTCATCATCTTCCAGAGGTGAAATATCAATGTCCTCCTCTTGCTGTGTGGCGTAGATGTGGACATCCTGGAAGATGCGGAGACCCCGCTCAAACTGGTAGATGAGTCTTGTGAGGTTGGTGTCGCCGCCGATGGTGATGATTGGCTTGGGAGGTTCCTGCACCATTACGTAGCTCTCAATGGTTGGCAGCTGCCTGGGGGCTCCATCACAGCTGCAAACAAGAACCATTGCCACACTGAATGATTCATGTTACATTGCATCAGCCTTATCTTAGTCATTTAACGCTTATACCCAAAAACAGTTTGAGGGATTAAAGACATGACACGTTTCCACACATGGTCGTAGAAGAAGAAGAGAGGTGCATACCGTAGGATAGAATAAGTTTAAAAATTTCTATTTTAATAATGATTTAAACCCTTCAGAGAGTACCCGGAGCGATAAAGTCATGAGACTATAACCTTCTAGCGCCTAACAGGCAGCTTGGGTTATCCGGGGTAATGTGCTGTGCTATTCATTGTTAGCACTATGAGCATTCGAGGTGTAGAGTTAAAAGGACAGACATCGGTAAATGTGGGTCACATCTGTAACGCTACATTATAGACAGGTGAATATTCCAGTGCTTACACAATAGTGGTTTCAACTTGGAGGTTCCTGCGTCCGGGAGTAGGGTATGTTCTAGCATTCACGTAGGTCACCTCCCGCATCAGTTTCTCCACCTCCGTGACGTCACGGCCGCTGATGCTGAACTCTGTCATCTCACTGTTGAAGCTCACACTCTGCAATGACAAACACAGGTCAGGACTGAAACACGGGGAAACATGTAGAGAACATGGAAACTAATGAACATTTCCTGAAGATAAAAGCAATGAGATGAATGGGGGAAACTTCATATAATACACACATATCTTAAGATAGAAACTTCAGACATCTTAACCTGATGTTAGTTCACCCCAAAGGGATAAATGTAAGCCTCTTAAATAATTACTTGAACATTATAGCCTCAAGTCAGAAGTCTGTCTGAGACAAGGAAACCGAGGTAATAATAGTTCATATAATAACCCTGAAATCTAGTACCAAAGATGCTGAGAGTCACATTTGGACTAAGCAATATTTAGCCTCGATTTGGTATTGATTCTAAACCTATCCATAAAATTTGGTATCATTTTGGGTTTGTCTCATAACCAGATTCCATTAAATGTGGTGAAAATCATAAAACTAGTTCACCTTCCCATTGACATAAGAATGATCATGGAATCATCACATATATTGTTTCACCATGTACGCTACAGGGGCAAGAGTGAATAACGTCAACTTACTGTTCCACTCTGCATGTCATTGAGAGCATGGAAGTCCAGGTTCTCCTTGCAGTTGTTGAGGCACTTGATAACCCGATCACTCTCTGTCTTGTCCTTCAGGAAAGACAGACCAGCCAGGTAACCACGGAAGTGATGCTCATATCGGTTCTCTCCTCCTACAAAACGAAACCACAAACTAGATCCAACACCAGAACAAGGCAACAATTAAATAAACACAGTTTAGTAATTAAGAAAGTAAGATACTTTATGGACGACAACTTCTTTATTATATATGATGCAACGTTTCAGTATAGATTCTTAAACCATTGTCAAGTAAGAGTTCTCCCACTAAGGCACATAATCAGATACCAATATTCCAGTCCTTGTTATAACATTTTTTAGAAGGATCCTTGATTCAAATGCTACAAGAGTGACCCTGAATGACCCCAGGACCCCCTAAATTAGGACACTGGTGAGGGATGCCTGGACAAGAGCTTACCCTGCCAACAGGCTCCGATTGTGAGCTTGGTGAAGTGGACTTTGTGGGAGGAGTGAAGTGGCCAGTCATCAACAATCTCCAGACTTGTCTTGTCAGGGATGAGCAGTTTTCCATCAATGTACAGACGAACCTGAAGAATAAATGTTACAGATATTATGACAGAAAAATAAATTGATGGCATAGTTGTTTGAAAACAAAGCATTACCGAAACTATTCTATGGGTAGGCGTGTGCATGTATTCTGACAGATTCAGCTCAATTCCAACCACAGCAAGTCTGTGCCTGACAAACAGTGCTTGATCAAGATCCATGTACTCTGTGAAGGAGGGACACAGAGACAAGCAAGACCTTACAACCATCCAATCCTCAACGTGGAATCTTTCACACACACTGGCTTAGCATGGCCCTTGAACCAATGGATTGGGTTGAGTTGGATTGAGTTGGGCTTTACATCACATCTGCATTATTCCAGCCATACAGTGACGAGAACAAGTCTTCATTAATAATCATTGTGGGTACAGAGTCAAAATGAGTCAAACATTTCAAAAAACATATTTTGAAACCACAATGGATATGTTGCAACACTTAAGGGCACAAAAATCTATACATAACACTAGTATACACAATTTGCAACCACCACAGAAGATAAAGCATAGCGAAACCTTCACAAGACACTGAATCCAAACTCGGACAAAACACATTATTTCTCATATATTGTCGTACCAAATGCTACAGAACCCATTCAAAGAGTTCCATTAAGTTTGGACTGTGTCCAGTGCTCACCTCAGGGAAGTCAACACTGATGGCATAGTGGTGCCACTCTCCATCATTGACCTGGGGGATGTGCCACCTCCACTCGGCAGGCTTGAAGATCTCCATCTCCTCTGGGGATGTGGCTTCACGGCCGCATCAGGAACACAAACTTCTCTCCATGGACAAACAGGGAGTAGTGGTGGCGGCTCATATCTGTCACAAGCAAAATGGTCAGATGATTTCAGGTTAAACATAACATACTCAATACTAGAACAACAAATATTCTGAACTGTACCTTCTGTCATCATTCACAGAGTTCTCTCTTCCAAATACTTCATACATGATCAAATTTTACCTTTCCTCTCCATACACATAACTTTCAAGAAATTTATTTTCCTTCCAAGTCATACAAAGGATACAAAATGTAGTTTTCACAGACATACACCAACAACCTACTGTTGCCCCTACAGATTAGATATTTCTTTACTGAATTATTCAGTGATCTCAGAGACTGTCCTTGAAAGGTGAATGGAAATTTCTCATTGATAACCATGCACTGAATAATACTATGGAGTCTATAACACAGTATTTCGAAGTACACAATAAACCTTAGACATGTGAATGCGTTGAATTGTGCTGTTACCAACATGTTCCTCTTTCTAAACACTGTCATAAAGTTTGAATACATTCATCAGGATTAGCTTAACTTCACAAATATGATCTGGTGTGATAATCATATCTGAAACAATGTTCTCATATCAAGCACTGACAGTAACCGTGATACAGTATCTGGATCCTCACAATACACACTGGTGGTAAATTTAGTCAAGTTTCTTCGGATCTAGCAAACTTGAAGTGTAAAATCGACTACAAAAACACAGAAATATATTTAAAATTCTGGCAAGAGCCCTTTGAAATAACTGTGGTAACTACTCACGTTCACCATCAGACATGCAGAGCACATGTTCCTTGGGGGCTCGGTGCTGGGAGGAGTACGTCTCCAAGGCCTCATGCTTCATCCACGTGGAAATGGTGAAATGTTCATGGATGGTATGGTTGAAATGGACATCGGGCACTTCTACAGCATTGCTATGGCCATCGAAAGAGAAGAGCTGGTCACTTTCATGTCCATCATCGGTGGGCAGGTTGCGGGTCCATGCGGCCAGGGACGGAGAAGGCAGCAGGTCCACACTTTCTCCACTAGCACCTGCAGCAGGCATAACACAGTCAGCATCATCGTGACTCATCATCTTAAGTAGGAACTCAAGCAGGTGTAGAATTTAATTTCAGTAGCATGACTAGTACTGCACTAGCAGACCCATGATATTTTCAAACCCTGACAATCGTCCTGTGTTGTTTTTTTCTAATGATACACTTCGTAAAACAAACTACAGGAAATATAATCTAGTCTGGATTAGACAATCCACATCACAAGCAATAATCTAAGCAAATGGGAAGTAAAGACGTACATCAACCAAATGAGTGAGCCTGACAAACTGATTACCTTTGGTCACTTCTTGTGACCAACATGGGTTGCTGAAGAAAATTTTAAACCAAGTCATGGAACAGAACGATTATGAATAGTTAACATTCAATCCATATTGATAAAGTGATATCTATGCTTTCAATCAAATTGACCAAGAAAATATTTAAAAATTTTACTACGTAGAAGAAAGGATATGTAAAAATGTGGTTTAAGCCATACTGTAATAAAAGGCAAAAATATGTTCAACACAGGATTCTCCCTGAGCCATTCTAACCAAACTCAGTCAAATGGGTAAAAATATCTAATATATCAAATCTTTAGAATTTCCTAAAGTTCATTTCTTAATCATTGAGCTGTTCTTTGCTTCCACTAACTTATCTAACAGCTATTTATTTTAAGCGTGATTCAAAACAAAGGAATGGTATTTAACACAACAGGCCAGAGATACAATATACTGGATAATTAAGGATCGCTCATCTACAAAGAAATCCAAACTGATATACAGCAATGTCTGTTCAGCTCCACAGTTCAAACAGTAATTCATCATGATGAACATGATTATGATGATATTGCCAAGAAGTATTTAAGGTTGATATCTTCTTGATGACACTTACCAATACAAATAAGAATATGCACATACTGATGGTATTAATAAACATATACAACAAGCATGTTGAACTTAGGAAAACCAAACCTGGCCATAACTTCTGTCAAAAGGAAATATTAAAGTGTACTTATCATTTTAAACATGAGAAACTGTTTGGTGGGACATTATTGCATCAATAATGAACCTATTCTGTGTGAGGCAGTATTGAAAAAATGCGTATGTACTAACTGCAATCACATATCACAACTGAAGTATCACACAAATGATTGAATGCTTCCTGATCTGTATCAACTCTTATCCAGACTAACAAGTATCTCATGGATCCACCTTGTTAGGAATTGCAGGGGGTGGGGATAGATGAAGAAGAATGTTCACTTGAGGTACTTTGTATTGTGACAAGGCTTTCAATGTAATCATTTCAATTGTTTGAATTACGCATTCAAGACACTTCCTGAGTGTTGCCATCATCATTCATAAATACATGAATACATGACACCTTGACTACACCATCAGTAAGCATAGCCATACCAATAACATGACTAGGGAAATATTCCCTCCCACATGGAAGGTTTTACTGACATTTGTTGCAGACTCTGGGCCTACTATAGGTCTAAATGCATCCCTGCTGCCTCTATAGCGCTGCAGTGAATTCTCTCATGTATATTGATAAAACCTGTAAAGAATTCTTGGATCAATGATTCTACATGTATTTTAGACATGTCAAACACTGAAGAACTAACAGATACAAAACTTCCATTATTGAAACAATTTTAAATAGCAAGTACATTATTATTATTATATTTCTCATGGATCTTAACTGTAAATTGTGATAGGATCTCCTCAGACAAAGGTGTCAAAATAATAATAATAATTATGGGGTCAATGCCATTAGCCTGCATTTTAAAACTTGAAGATTTAAGGGGCTCTCAGTTCAGACACCCTTTATGATTTCAAGGACTGACCACTTCCCCCAAACTGATTTTTGCACAATGCTTTTCATCAATCCCACCATGTGTCATATATACATGCCAAAGTTGGTCGTACATTTCTCAATAATCAGTCATGTTATAAAACATAATTACAACTTAGTTAATCATAACTGACTGAATGTTAGATACACATATTTTCAATAGAAATGTAGAGAATATAAACTTGTTATGAATAATATACTTGGAAAACAGTTCTCACGTACACCTACGACATATAAACATCACAAATGCATTACCCGTTGACACGCAGAACAATAATTTGCAGCATTGCTATGTTGTTGTTTTTTATATTATTTTTTTATTTGTTCAGCATTGCTATGTTAGAATTGAGTATATTCACAGGTTTTATGATTTTAGAAAATTATTAATTAAAGTAAATTACACAGAAATATTAGTGTACTTTTTTATGAAAAGTGGACTGTGACAAACACCACAAAAAAGACAAAACACTCAAGATCTTCACAACTTAGAAACGAAACAGTGATCAGAATTACTCTTTCTTTCACTTCTTAACAAGATTATGTTTAGACAAAATAATTGGTTCAATGGCTATTTCATTCAACACTACTAATGTGGTTAATTTTAGAAGCTGTCCTCCATAACCTGCAGTAGATCATTATGATAAAGTCTGTTAATTTCTTTCATTTTCAATTAGCATTCTCAGCAAAAATATATCAAAAGGAAATTCTAAACATGCTAACTCAGCACAAAGTGACTGTTGACAAAATATTTAGACTCCATAAACATGCTAAGTCTTGACAGCAGCAAACTGCTAAAAAGCCAATGTGAACCAAGGTCAATGTTCATCTGTGGGTCAAGATGACCCCAATATACAACTGAAACACTATGGCTCCTGATGACAGCCACAAGGTTCCAGCCACTCTACTCAAGGTCAAACAATGAATTCTCGGACATGACCTGCAATAAATACTAAATCTCATGAATACTTTAGTGTTGAGGCTGTCGAGGCTACTGAGAAAATAATTCCATGGTTCACCATGTATATATACATCAACGAAAACAATCTAAATTGCTTCAATAACCCAAGGCTAAATACAACAGCTATCTGTAGAAAAACGTCAAACAAAACATATGTCCTTCCAGAAACACCAATTCTTTAAAACTAAGCAGAGCCCATGCTTGTAGCTCCGTGGCAGGGATATTTCATGTTTTGGCACATGCTTTCAAATTTGTTTCTGTCCTGATGGCCTGCAGCAAATTTACACTTTGATCTACTTGTCACAAAAAGCTGTTTGCGTAAAAAGGAAAGCCTGGAGAGTCGAGTCAGCGATCTGTGGGTCCTAATGGCAGCCTGGCAATTATTTTTTATCTCAAACACTGTTAATGTTTGTCTGCCACAATAAATCCCAACAGTTCAACACACTATGGAGCAAGACCCACCTGGATCAGGTGTTGGAGTCGTGTTCCCTCACCTGGATCAGGTGTTCAGTATTGGTATCTAATGTGAATCACTGTCTACTTCAATTTCACATATCAAATAACCAATGATACATCCAGCTTTTCACAAAACTGAGTCAACTGGCCCATTGATTTCATAAAGGGGACCAACACCTTTCCAGAAAAAAGGGCCAACATGTTCTGACTTTTAAAACGCTTATGACCTCACTATTTGAACACTTCCGGAAAAAAGCTTTCCAAGAAAGCAATTGAAATGCATTACTTTGACCGCAGGTACCAGGAATATTACAATGATGATGTTTTTGTTCAAGATACAAGTCACTGTACATGATTTGACATTGACAACAATAAATGAAAACCAACTCACACGCCACTCACAGAATATATAACTGAAAGTATGAGTAAACATTGCTCACATCAGCAATTTACCAGCTATTTGCGGAACACTATGATGGAAGTATGGCAGTTGCAAAGTGATACCAAAAGAAACTTCATAAAGTTCTTTTGGTTTATTAGATGAAAGATTTTTATGTGAATTATTCCCTACTTCTCAACAAAGTAGAGAAAAATCAGAAAGACAGTTTGACCCAAGATAATTGTGTAGTTTCATGGTGTTCCTTTTAGTGAGTCTAAACCAACTAAAAACAAAAAAAAACAGAATAAAGATACTACAGTACTTAATGATACCATAATACAAAACTGACAATTGATACATGGACTTACAGAATTTGAATGATAATAAAAACCCAATACTGAATTGTGAATGAAGTAAACAGTCTATCCTATACTCAGGACATGAATTGCGTAGTGACCCTTTGTACTTCCAACATGTCAAAATCAACAGTTCTGATCCAACTGGCGCTGTTCCCAGAACTACCTCATTACACAATAACTGTGAACTCTACCGTCTCATAACACATAATCCAATTCTCTCCAGCGTGTCCTGCCCGATAAAAGAACAAAACACAGGCCTCCATTTTTCTAACAGGCCACTGCAAAATATATCTCCATCTCCCTTGGCAATACTTACCACAGAGTTTTCTCTGAGATGTAATAGAATATGTATCACGATCACAGCCCTTGCCGATATGTTTGGTTGCCAGGGTCATCCTAACAGCTATTTTTTCAGGTGTGCATCCCTCTTCACAAAGTTGAAGACGAGCATGATCGGCAATTTTTTGCCTACCACTTCCTGCGACATATGGAATATGGTCCCGCACATCTTGCCAACCACTACGGCATAATTCCTCCACAACAATGTTCACGAACACAGGTTTCGATCTTTTCTTGCCACAATCGCTGGCAACAACTTTAAGAATGTAATTTCGGTGAATATTGAAATCCAGAGGCTCTGTGTTTTTAAGATTTCCCTGATGATCGATTTCAAATGGAACTTCTGGAGTAAGGATTTCATAGTCACAGATTCCCTGGTAATCCGCGGACCTGTCTCCATCAGATGCTCGTAAAGACACGATGCTGGTGTACATCTTGCCTTCTTGCACTGTGGCAAAATAGGATGAGTTTTCGAACGTTGGGGCAAACTCGTCAACATCTTTCACTTTGATCTGAACAACAGCCCTGCAAAGGAAAAACAAGCAATCAGTACAGCGATGAACAATACTGCCTCTGGTGTTCAAAATTTACCATTCACAAGTCAAGCAGCCCTGGCCACAACCCTGTTGTTAGAAGTTAAAGATTTATGTAGTTGATAGATTTAAATATTGTGGGAACAATCCTCAAGCTTGGGACCTCCTTTATATCAAACATTGCTGACAGCTACAATGAACAACCAGCATTGATGTTAGGCCAAATCAATACCTACAATATGTAAAGACTGATAAATGTTGGCCATAAAACGTACATCACAACCTGCCACACATTATTGATTATACGTGGATATTAATAAAAAGACCAGCTAACACTGGTTGACAAGGAAGTGTATTGATTAATCTTTAGTGAACAGCATTTCAAATCTGGCATTCTGTCTTATCATCGAACAACTACATCCTGTAAGTCTCTACTGCATCATAATTGATGAAATATGAATAGATACTGAATCTGACGAGGTATTGTTTCAGTCTGAACTGCAATTGACCAGTTAATACTGATCGATCCTGAATAATGAAAACAGGAAAGTCACAAATTGGAATAAATGCCAGTATCCATTATGTCAAGCAATATTCTTAAATATTTTAGTTTTAACAATATTCTGTAAAACAAACACTTCAACAAGGAAAGTTTGCAATTACAACAGATCTTGAAAAATTGTCAGACGTGTTTTCATACACTCTAAGTTTCCTCCATGAAATCAAGGGATTAATAAGAACTTCAAAAAGTTAAATCAATCAATGTTTCATGTTAGCAGAATCAGACTACAATAGCTGAATTGTTAAACTGTCATCTAATTTTGGACACAGATCATGAAAGGAGCAATGCATATACCACACAATCGATCAAGGCATCTGTGTACATTAACCTTCAACTGTTTTTGTTTGTTGTTTCACCCCACAATCATAACTAAAGTACTGTCGGAAATAGAAAAAAACTGTTTTTAGGCTGTTACTCTGTATCCCTAAAATTTGCACAATTGCAAATAGCATATGTCAAAATAACCCACATCTGCCTAACTGGGCGTTCAGAGGGATGCGTAATAGGATATCTAGAAAAGCATGTTTACTCGTAAAACCAGGCAAAACTTTTTACGTCTAATTGTTTACGGCTGCTATCGTTTATAATGAAGCTAAGTCTAATTTCAAAATGATCATTTATAAAGTGTCCTTTGTAATACAATATCATCGCACACTAATTTGCATAAAGCCATGGTCCGTTCTAAATAAGTCGCATTGGACTTTAAAAAAACCTGCATTGCTAATTTCTGCACTCCTCAGTAAAGTCCTTTTTTCTACGTTTCCTATCTCCCTCCCACTGCGACTTTAGTTAGGCCAAACTTGGTTTAACAGATATTCCACACTTTCACATATTAACTTCCTTAATTGTAGATATAAATGTGAAACAACAGTTTATTTCTATTTCCGACAGTACTTTAGTCCACCTTATGACAGTGATCTGCGGAATATACTAGTAACTGTGTCCAGCCAAGACAATCCAATGATCAACATCAGGAGCATTAGAAACTGGATACAGTGACCATCACTGACCAAGGCATTAAGCTTGACCACCAGATTACGCTAGTCGTATGCTACGGACACTGGTACAGCAACTGCTTTGATTCACATTGAGCTGAACTGTTTGTTAGATATACCACCAAGAAAGATAACAGACAATATATGTGTATTGATACTTAGGGATGAAAGCATTATGTGAAGTGAAAACTCTTAAACACCACCAATGAAAATCTCTTAATTAGTTACTATGACCTAATTATTACATTCTAAAGGTATTATTATGCCTCTACAAGAACACCTATGTTTAAATATTTCCTCACCATCCTAAAATTTCACAATTACTTGGCAAAATCCCAAATTCATGACCACTCAAGTCTCGAAATAGATGTCTTGTATCATTTCCTGCAGACACATCATCATCTCTCATTCAGCAACATGTTGACACAACATACACTCAGCTGGTCCTATGAAGCACAGAAACTTGCATCCTGTTCTCATCAATATACAAAATTAGATGCTGATGTACGAAAGCATGCATCCTATGGGATTTCCAAAAAGCATTCACTTGATATGTTGATCGTAGCCATGTTGCCTACTTGTTTAGCATATTTAAGCCAGATCAACTCCTGTTATGATATCATGTTACAGCTATTTGCATTACATGGCATTTTTGAATGTCCGTGTTATAATCCACCAAAACACTGGGACCACATACCACAATGTAACAATTAAGTCATTCAACTCCAAACATCGGCTCATACTGATGCTTAGTCTGCCATACAGACCCTGAAGCAAATATATCCAAGAAAGCCCCCGCAAGTCTAGAAAATGTGGCAAGTCTAGATTTCCACAGGAAATGAGGTGAGGTGAAATTGGGTTTAACGTCGTGCTTGAGAATATTTCGCTCATATGACGACGTGCATGCATGTGTATGTGTATGTGCAGCTGCTTGTACTAGCCCAGACTTAAGCTGGTTTTATAGTGCCAGCCCAGAGATACCAATGAAGCATAAATACCCCACTCAGACACATTATACAGACACATTATACTGACTGAGCCGACCAGTCCTTGTTGTACCCATTAATGCCGAGCGCCAGGCAGGGACCAACAAGTACCATATTTTAACTGTCTTTTTGGTATGACGCGGTCAGGGATCGAACCCGCGATCTTCCGCTCTCCGGGAGGACGCTCTTACCACTACACCATAGAGGCAGTCCACAGAAAATGAAAAAAGTCACAGGGCTCCTTTCCATTTATTTTTACTATGACCTTTTTTTTCCCTGCAAAATATGTTCATTTCAGAGACTAGTTGTTAGTCTAACTGACGCTCATACTAGATTCAGAAATTACATTAGCCTAAAATGTCAACGTTTTTAACTGATAATGCTTTTAATACACAAAACACCTGTGTCCGAAATTACAGTTGGTCCTTCGTTCTCAACTGTACTCTAAAGTAAATCAATCTGACAAGGCCTTTTTTCTTTCACTTATAACATTAGGGTCATTACAAGGACAACCTGAAACATTGTGCCAGGCTTAGTAATAATCCACACTGGTATAGATGGCAATGAACTTTTTCCTAACCCAAAAACCTCCCAGTAATGTCAGAACACAATCCAGTAGTTACATATACAGCAACAATACTTACACATCAGATAGGCGGGGAGGATCGCCACAGTCCTTGGCAATTATTTCAAACTTGTAGTGGGAGCGCTTCTCAAAGTCAAGCCTCTCCTTCTCCCGAACTCGGATCTCAGCTTGACCAGTTGTTTTGTTCTTTAGTTCAATAACAAACGGGATCTTCCCTCGCTTCTTACTCTTGAGTATTTTATATTTGCAGATGAGCCCTGAAACAAAAAAGTTTTAATTTATCCAAAAACTGTTTTGAAATTCTAGTCCATTCCGGTCATTAACCATGTTTACACATATATGGCACTGTCTCCAGAAACAGAAGACTAATGTTCAAAGTTACTAGGTGACTATCAAGGTAATGCCAGGGGCGCTCACTGCACCCAACCCCACTTTGCATTAAAAAATCGGCAAGTCATCACTCCTCAAATGGCTGAGCATAAGTCGTCTAATCTTGACATTACTGCACAGAATGCAACGTATACCTCTGAAGGTAAGACTACAAGAACTTACAAGGCCTTCCAAATTATGACCAATTTTGCCCAACAGTTTACAAGCCCAAGTAACCGCCTGTTTACTCACAGCATACCTTCGGAATTTACAAACACCCATATTGCAGGCGTAAAGATATGACCAAATGGGATTGTGGAAGGAAACAACTTCATATGATCATCTTCACTGCTGAATGCTTATTAGTTTGAATTTTAATTAATCTGTTCACAGCTTTTTTATGACCAATGGCTGATTACTAGATTTTAGAAAAGAATCCAGCAGTCCCTCCAGAGTTTCCCTCTCCTGAATTAGAGACTAACTGCCATGTCTATCCCTGTCGATGATATCAAACATGGCTACCATGGATGAGTACCACTGCCACAAATAGATCAGCCACTGAGGATGCCAGTGGCTGAAGATACAAGGGGATGGTGCCAGGTCTTCTACTTACTTGCTAGCCCAATGCTATCCTCATCATATGCCGATAACCCAGGTCGGAGGTCAACTGTTGTCTCATCTTCCCGGATCTGACCTCGGAATAATGCAAAGCCTCTGGCATTAACTTCAGAAGACTTTATCACAGGGTCGAACGCATTAGGTTCTGAAAGAAACAAACAGGAGTCTAATGTTGGGAATCACAAATCCTGACAGATCATAACTATAAAATCAAATCCTGACAGATCATAACTATAAAATCAAATCCTGACAGATCATAACTATAAAATCAAATCCTGACAGATCATAACTATAAAATCAAATCCTGACAGATCATGACTATAATTCAAACAGCAGGACTGTCCCTGTACTCCTCTTTAGTTAATTTTAGGAGTATGTACACCTGAGGCTAAAGACTTATCAGGGGCACTGATAACGAATACAATAACAAGCCACAGCTGAAGTGTTATTAAATAAATTCATAAATTCAGTGAAACAACAACAAAATAATTATCTGACATGTTTTGATTATGTTGACGTGTTATTTCAGTGACAATGAACAGTGACCTCATTACTGCCAAATCAAAAATGTCAGAAGGTTGGTTATTATCTCGTATGGCTTGGACATATTCTATTTGGCTGATCTCATTTCAATAAATAACACCAGAATTCAAAAAATTTATGAATATCCTACTCAAGTGTTCATGAATAAAAAATTAAATTTATTAACGGACATGGTTTGATTCGACGAATAGCATTTATACCAGCTTGCACCACGTACATGTTAATGCTTTACTGTTCAAAGAACAGACTTCAGTTAGAAAACAGAATAAGGAACTGGCTTGGAGTGGTGACTGTTGACTACACAGTGATTAAATGACTGTTACTGTTCATGTCATGAATATTTATGAAATAAGATGAAATGATCTTATTAGCCCCAGGAGAATTTTGTTATACTGATGTTCTAAATCATCAATACCAAACTCAAGCATTACATAAAACTCTACATTGAGCAGCAGGAGCCACCTGTTTAAATCTGGTGCAACAAGGCTATAGCCAAAGGTTGCACAGGGTGCAAGTACGTTTCATTTTCTTAACTTCAGCCCTGTCTTACTAAGATCTAGCTGATTATTACATCAGAAAATCTTTCCATACCTAATAATTAGAATATCACTCTAAAATAATGAAATGGTAGTTTGTATCAACCATTCAGCATCAGTGGACCATATATTTCCTAAACATTAAGCGTGAGCAGCTATTTTGTCTTTATACAATACTCAGTTTGTTCAGGATATTTGACAAGATGAATGACTACATACATTTCTCCCTCTGTCATTTTCTCCACTTTCAAAACCCCCAAAACAATGTTTGAAAATACCTAGTAACAAATATGTTTGCATTTTGAAGACTATAACAAGGTTCATCATTACTTGAAAAGTCAAATGACTTTGTATCATGATACATGTACAATCATGACTGAAAGCTGAGTGAAACAGGTTTTATTTGTTTTGTTGTTTTTCTGTTGTTGTTATCAAGTGAGTGAGTGAGTGAGTATGGTTTTACGCCGCTTTTAGCAATATTCCAGCAATATCACGGCAGGGGACATCAGAAATGGGCTTCACACATTGTGCCCATGTGGGGATTCGAACCCGGGTCTTCGGCGTGACGAGCGAATGCTTTAACCACTACGCTACCCCACCGCCCTGTTGTTATCAAGACTGAACTAATATCTTGAAACATCACTGTTTCGATGAATATGACTTTCTGAATGGTGTATCTCATCTCTTGTCCTTTGACAAGTTCAAAATAATATGGAACAGCATTAAAAAAAACCTTACATGGCTTGAACATTAGAGTGACAAAAAGTACTGTTGTGGGTATCCATGGTAACAGCAATTGTTTTTAACAACCTTCCTTTCTTACTGAACCATCCGACAGTGCCCGACCTTCTCAGATCAAATCATTCAATCAGTACATATTTCATTATCCTTATCATAAATAGTCCTTGCATATATAGAATCAAATATCCATTATAACTAGCACAAAATGATAAGTACAAACCAGAACTTCATGTTTTAGAAGTACAATGAGAATAATCAGCCTAAAAAATTGTCATTCATTTTCAGTAGCATCATATTTTGAACTTGTCCTACATAAGACATGTAACCAGAGAAAGCCTCATGAGACAAAGGTTCAGGGAACACAAGCCATTATCAAGCCATCAGTGCTGCTTCCCTCCCCAGCTATCAGCTTTCTGACAGTGTGTGGCCCAGATATATCTTGACCCCTTATCTCAAGTTCTGCCAATCACTGAACCAGGAGGGCTTGTGTAACAGGCTTCTTCAGCCCATGTAACTATGAACAAAATATAACATTTCCTGTCCTGGACAGGTCCCTGTCATGTGGAACAGCTTGAAGCCAGTCTTCTGAGCCAGATAAAAACAATTAGTAAACTGTAAGGAGATCTTGTATTGACCTGCCGGTGTCTTAATCACTGTTAGTGATACTGGTCAATATGTACAGGAGCCACGTGAAGTGATGTGGCGCATGCATGAGAGGAACCAGTTTTCATGCAATATTAATAATAACAGGGTTCGAATTACTTGTAAGAATGAAGTCAATGGCCATAAACCCAATGGTTTGGGTGCAGCCCAGTAGCAGAATGATAAACATCCAGGAACCCTCTAAAAATTCTATGACACGGATTTCAAATATATGCAAGAAAATTCAATTATTTAGAAATATTTCTTTCAGTGTTCAATTCTTCTGTTAATTTTTTTCTGATCTATTAAACAATGCTGATGAAAAATATGTTACCTGCAAAGACTGTTCTCGCAACGAATTCTTGTGGACTAACAATTCTGTGAACATCATACTAAAATTACTATGCTAAGGGGGACATGTTTTTCTGGGGGGAAAGCCATTAGATCTGAATTCTTTCAAGCTTTTTTTTCCACCAGAGACAAAGCATGATGAGTGGACCATCCACTGTTGAATTGACTCTCTTATCTTGAAGACAAAAAAACATCAACACTACTGATCACTGAAATCTGTATTTAATCATACTCAAGCATAAAACTGATCAAATTTGAGAGACTGCTTGGAGGACTCATTAAACGATGATTCATCCGACAGAGTAGAAACAATGGAACATGCTACACAGCCAATTTGCTTCGAGGGATTAGGGAGGACATCAATGGCATCTTGAATCAATACATTCTCATACAGCTTGTCAGTGTTCAACATTAGAGGGGATCCTGGGTGGCTTGTTGTTTTCTGTTGCATTTGAATCTAGGACCTCCTAAAGTTTTCAATTTTCTAACACTGGGGTTATTACAAGAGAGCCTTTGACTTACATGCCTAAAGTCTGCCTCTATTGTTAGGAATAATAACACGTATTTCTTCAACTTTCTTAAATATGAACTGTTTGGGTGGAATGTTTAGAAGTTAGTAAGTAACTGACTGACTGAGTTTGGTTTTACGCCGCTTTTAGCAATATTCCAGCAACATCACAGCGGGGGACACCAGAAATGGGCTTCACACATTGTGCCCATGTGGGAACTCGAACCCAGTTAGTAAGTAAAGACAAGAATTGTTATGAGTATCAACCTTTTTCTATTATGATACAAAGTTGAGGCATAGATCCTTCTATCATTGTGCCTGACAATTAAGAGCACTATATTTGTCCCCTAGCAGGGGTGGAAATAACCCATTGCCCGACACCCCAGTCCAGTGCTTTTTTTCTGTTGGGCTAGCAAATTTGTATGTCACGCTGTACCGGTGTCCAGTTGACTTTCCAATGTTAATTATGTTGTGTATATAAAAAATCAACAAGAAAATCGGCCAGTATAGTGGAAAAATTATCAGGGCAAGTGATTTTACATGTGCCACTGTACCGGAGTACATAACAATTTTAAAGATATTTCCACCCCTGCCCTAGGCTATGTTGTATCTTTAGCTTCTTCCTCTTGTTACAACAATCATCTTTCGTTACTGCTGTTGTTAATTGCTATCATGCATACCCTTAGGTGGAATTTAGTGACGCATGACCTATGGCACAAGAGGTTATGGTGCTGATTTTGGTCCATTTGTTCATTCTTGATAGAAGTATACTGTGCTGTTGTATTTCGATTCTCCGTTCACTGATGCTTACCAACAGTATAAGGATCAATATTAACCCATTGCATAACAGAAGTTGCCATTTATAAATTATCCTGACTCAACAGACCTACATGTGTCATCAATAGTGTTTCAACATTTGACCTATATTCTTAATAAGATTGTCAAACTTCTACAGATAAATCATGTCAGTAATTTGCAGCATGATCATTAAAAAAGATAAAAATATTCAAATCTTGATAACAGCGACTGAGTTTGGTTTTACGCTGATTTTAGCAATATCACGGCATGGGACACCAGAAAATGGACTTCACACATTGTACCCATGTGAGGAATCGAACCCAGGTCATCGGCGTGACAAGCTAATGCCTTAGCCACTAGACTACCCCACTGACAGTAGCTTATTGTTATTACTCTCCAGTGTTGCTTTAAGTATTAACACAGAGGTGATATGCACTGCTTTGAACAGTAGCCTAATTATCCTCTTAGCTCAATTATCACCTAACCTTCTTAACAAACTTGAACAAAGGTTACTTCAATTCTGACAGCTCTCAGATTAGCTACTAATTAATCTTAATCCTAATCACATCACAATGTGACCAGTCAACCAGCAAATAGACAATAATCTGCCATTACAACATCCACAAATCTTTAGTATGATTTATCACAAAAGGATTATTATAAAGCGAAGCAAAACGCAAAGAATATTCTCATGGTAAAATTTCAAACAGATATTTGACAGCAGTATCAATGTTTAAACTTTCTATATCGCAGGTCTTATAACGTGTTTCAAATGAAGTAAACATACAACATAAACATCACATTTGTGTTTTCAGAGAGAGAAAATCAAACCAATTTCTACATTTCTGAAATTATTTTCATAAACCTAATCATTTTGGCCATTGTGTTTAATGTGGATTCAAAGAAAATGTATCACGCTCACAACGAATTTGGAGTTTCCCAACGTGCCCATCCTATCTCGTGTTTCTCGAACCACTGACACACTCGGCTTCTGAATCGAGTTACAAACGGAGATCGCTCGGATAATAAGTGTACATCGAATAATAAGAATATTCATACGACCTTTCTGTAACCACTTCTTTTATTATAAACTAGTACGTCTCTTTATCTTCCTTAAAACAAACACAGCACAATCCATGTTTAAGAACTGAGACTGTAGTTAAGCAAAAACTGCGCTACGTCGCGCCATCAACTCCATTTGACATTTCACAAGGAACGATGCGGACATCGGTTTATTCCACTAAAAAGACGCCGCTATTGAGCGTATCCATTAAAATATATTCATCCCCGTTGTCAGAATTCTGACATACTTGACAAAAATATTGTTATGAGAACGGCCTTCGGTCAAATTTGTAGTATTAATTGACACTGTCTCATTACTCATTCAGAGAATGTGTCAGACAGCCACTATTTGAGGAATCACACACATGTTCAGGAATGAACCACAATACTCACCTGAATAACCGCAAATTAGCGGCAATAATGTCACTAACACACATATTATCCGTATATCCTCCATGTTTCTGTGTGTTATATGTACAACATTGGCTTACAGTCCGTAGAAACGCCAACTGTAAATTGGTAAGCAGATTTTCCCCTGTGCACAAATAACAAATATGGCTGACTGTGCGCGTATGATAATGAGATGCGATGACGTAAAGAGACTTCCTGCTGCGGAACAGGCAAAATTCCGACGGAAAAACCCCCTACTGCCACCAATACTATATATTCCTCTGACTTATCACCTCTTTTAATATTTTCATGACGCTGTGTTATTTCTACAGTTGCTGCATTTACATTTCATTGTCTTTGTTTATTCTACTATGAAACGCGTATTTGCAAATTAGTGCGACAGTGGTGATAGTATATTCCTAAAAACACATTTACTGAATAATAATTTAACCACCACAGCTTAAATCACAGGTTTAACAAAAGATAGTATAACTGTCAGTACGCACGTAATGTTTATTTTGAAAGTTTGTTACTCTCTTGATAGTTGTAGTATTAATCATGTCACTGTTCACAGATTAACCCAGATTAGTTAACTACATGTAAAGATGCTGTTGAATATGTAATACAAGTTAATCAAATATTGTTTCACCACAACTACGCCTGTTTCTAAGCAAACTATACTTTGCTATTTTACATATATATTTATCAAAATGTCACAGAAGCCATTTGTTGTGACATTCCTCTCTTTTTCTTGTCATTTGTACATCACAGATTCAGGTCGAATGATTTGTTATTGTTATACAATTTCAAATACCCTTTTCTGTTCGAAAGATTGATACAAACAAAGTCCCAAAATGTATTTTCTTATCGCTAAAGGTTCTTACAAAAGGAATATGAAAGGCATTTATAGGGCTTGTTAAAAGAGTTTTGAACACTAAATTATGTAATTGATATTGGCTTATATGAATGTCGTCATGTTTGAAATATGGACTAAAACTATATTACCACCATATCATCTACATGTATTTCATATTGCTTCGACCAAAATAAGAAACCTCTGGTGTTGACGTAATTATCGCGATCCATATTTTCACTTTATCACTGATCGCCAAATCATGCCGTTTACTTTTTAAAGAGGCTGTTAGGTTACTAGTATCTTTGAACCGGAAGTACTTTAAAACTTGCCTGCTGGGACCCAAAACTTTCTGTTTACAGTCAAAGTTATGGCAATGGAGCATCAAATGCAATGGTATTTACCTGTATACGTTCTTTGAAATATTTATATTATGTCATGCTTATTTATTTCTGGTGAATATCGGGTCAATAGAAACTTTAACTGAGCAAGAAAGGTTAGATTTGGCCCTCGAAATATCGAATGAGTCAGATAGTTCCGCTCTCTCAATCACAATCGAATTCCTCGAGTGATCAGGAAATAAGTCCGATCCCATTTCGGGAGTACTTGTATGTAATATTCCGTTGGTGGAGTGGTGGCCATTATGAATATTAAACTGACCATAGAATTCAAAGTCAGGTGATTCTTTCGACACTCTTAATTGTCTCTTTTGCCTCATCAACGCGAGATTAAATATGTCTCAACTTGTTGGGGGACTTCAGTCTAAGTTATGAGTGAAGAAATGTTCCCGATAAAATCGAATATTGAACAAGTACACTTAATAGCACCTTCAACACTAAGAAGCTAATTGAATGTGCTGATTTTCTTGATCTATCTTAGAAAGACCTCGGCGGTAACACTCAATATGATTTTTATGACACTTCTGGTTATATGGTTTGTTTCTAGTGCAACTTTCCGTTTTCTGAAAGAATTCACAAAAAGTAGTTGTTTCCTGTTGAACTGTTTGTCCTCTCTTTCCTCTGTTGTGCCTCCAGAGTATCTTCAGTTGCCAGTGTACTATTGAGTGATACTAAAACTATAAAAAGTACAAGGGAGAATGTTCGGTACACTTACAGAATACCGGATACATACCAACCATATTGTTAATGTCACGTCTATCTAACTCTAACGCTATCCGTAACCCTAAACCTTACCCTAACCCGAACCCTAAACCTTACCCAACCCTAAACCTTACCCTAACCCTAGGAGTTAGGGAGGTATCCGGTATTCTGTAATCTTACCGAATGTTCTTTGGCACACCTTACAGTATTATGCTCTGGCATGTCATAAGCGTATAATTCTTGGTCCTGATCCCAGTTCATGCTGATTATATTTCTGATGGTCTACATCTCTTTGGTCTTTTGCTCCCATAGGCCTTGATATAACTGGAATACCATTCAACCAAACTGCCTCACACCATTTCAAAGTTACTGAACTGTCCACACTAACATATTGTTCTTTGTATTCAAAGCAAGAATCACTGCTGACAAATTATTTCTACTCTGATGTGTTTCAGGTGTTCATAATACAAACAGGGATGGTTTCGACACTGATATGAACAGAGATGGTTTCGACAACAACATGAAAAGAAAACGAACAGAAAACATCTTATAGTTTGCCCAAATTTGACCGACATGACCTACAAGATGGAGATTCAAGAAACAATCCTCCACTTGATCGTCTTGCTTTCCATCATCGTCTTGGTTACTAGCACAGGAGAATGCCCAGATGCCTGTACCTGCAACCTCCAAATCTCCAAATCTTGGGTGTCATGTGAAGGAAGTGATCACTCATCTCCAGCAAAAACGTGGTCTGATTTGGTGGAAGTCGTAATACGTTATCCCTTGCTGAAACAACTTTCATACCACAATGGATTGACCTCACTTCCCTATCAAACACCAAGATTTGATGAATTGGAAAAGCTCAGTTTATCTCAGAATTACATGACAGAGTTGAAATCCGATGCCTTCACAGGAATGATATTCCTCCAGATTTTGGATCTTGGCTTTAATGGCATACAGAAAGTTGACGAAAATGCGTTTCGTGGTTTGGAGAATCTGCTGACTTTGAACCTAGTTCACAATAAGATTGCCAGTCTTTCAGAAAACACGTTTGAAGATGTTCAGGATTTGAGAACACTTATCCTCAAACAAAACAGAATAACAAGTTTGCCTCAGGGAATATTCAGGAATTTACAAAATCTGGAGATTCTAGATTTGAGTTACAATTCCTTGACTTATCTTTCTTCCAAACATTTCACACCTCTTCTAAATCTAAGAGAGGTACACCTCAACAGTAATCTTGTACAGTCATTCCATGTGGACACAGTATCAGCTCTCAGTCACATTCCAGTTTTAGACCTTTCAAACAATCCTTTAGACTGTTCATGTGCCATGAGAGACCTCAAGATGTCAATGGCAACAAGGACCACCAGCCTTATGAATCCAAACGCAACTGTTTGTTCGTCTCCACAGCACTTATATGGGGAATCTATAGAAGCTGTAGCCTTGGAAGATCTCAACTGTACTGAGCCTCAGATATCCTTAATATCAGAACCTCAGGTTATACCCTATCAACAGGACCTGTATCTTCCCTGCCTGGCCGAAGGTTTCCCAGCACCAGCAATAGTATGGGAAACGCCCTGGGGAGAAACATTTGCCCGACCTTCCAGTTTCAATTTCATTGGTGACGGCGGTCTAGAATATCATTCGCATCATGCTTATCAAGCCAAAAATGTTATACTCGTGTCTACCGTAACTCTTTTTGAAAACGGGACTCTATACATTTCAAAATTCAGGGGTTATTTTGCTGGTAATTTCACTTGCATTGCTGTGAACCCTTTGAGTAATAGCAGCGCAACTGTCGAAGTTGAGATTTTTCATATTTTGAAATTAACATTTTTCCAAAGCTTGTTTATAAGTCTATACTGTTCTGGTGGCTTTTTTGTGTTCGGGATCATTGTGGGCATTATTAAGATGATAGTTTGTGCAATTCAACGCAGACTCAAAGCCATGGAGGACAAAAGTAAGGAGTCTGAGAAAGCAGTGTCTGTTAGTGATATTGTTGTTGTCCTTGACGAATCTGACGACCGTTCTGACCCATCACCGCCGAAAACACCACTTATTTCCTCATCTTTGAGCACCCCAAATTCCCCGCAAAAATGTACCACGCCTACCGAAGAACTTGGATGGCTGCCTGCAAATATATTTGACACTTTGGATGAAGCTCGCTGGAGGTTACGGTATGGTGTTGGGCGTCGAATGGAGAAAGTACGAAGTCACGTTCAAAATCAGGTGCAGTCTATACGAGAAAGCAGCACACTATATATGCAGAGTATCAAGGAATCTGGCAGCAGCGCCGCCAGTCGGGTCCGGACCGGTATTGTGGTTGGCGTGGAAACAATGAAATATAGTGTTCAGTCACTTCGTGAGTTCTGTGGTACCGGCGACATGAGAGGACAGACAATATCAATGATATCAGTATCGACCGATATTGATACAGATCAGCGAACTGAAGTCATACGATCAGTAACATTTGTTTAAATTACGTCTCAACCGCTTTTCTGCTTTTGAAATACAGGTATTAAGCCATATTTTCATACATTTCTATTTAATTTCAATATATATATATATAATTGTATCTCTGAATCAACATGATTTAGCTGTAATCTTGATTAATTCCTTTTTCTATATGGCTTCACCTTGCTCATATACCACATTTACTACTAGAGGTGTGACGATACAGAAATTTCACGATACGATACGTATCCATTATCTTGGAATGATACGATTCGATTCGATGCATATCACGATATGCTTTCTTTAGTTATTTTCCTTAAAAAATCCCATTGTAATAGTAAGAAATTTAGACATAAACATCAATATCTAATGAAAATTAACAATGTTAAGGTCAACGATACATATCACGATATGAAAGAATGTATCGATATATTTATCGTCAGATAAAGTATCACGATTATCGATACGACGATATATCGTCACAGCTCTATTAACTACATTGGAAAACTTTATAGCTAGAAGTTACCAGGTTGGTTCATGTATGAGATATTAATAATTATTGTTCACGGATCAATTTCTTGAAGGAATTTTGGTTTTTATGATATCAAACTTTCAAGAATGCTTTAGTTGCTGCCACCACATTTTGAGTTTTATTAGCTTACGATTTTCATACAGGACATGTTTTTTGGAGACTCAAATATTCTTTACAGAGGGATTCTGTCATCAGAGGTTTTTACATACTGATATGTTATGAATCAAACTGCATGACAATGACAATCTATCCCATATTTTGTTCATTTTGTTTTCAGAGTAGTCCTGGATCAGTTTTAGAGACTCGGATTAAGATAATTACCGATATACAAAATGTCAGAAAAACATAATCATAATAATCATAATCATAACAGCCATGCATATGTTATGGGGTTTTTTAAGGCTAATATGCTTTTATCAAGAATGTTTCCAAAAGAAGTGAAACTTTCAAACTCTGCATTGTAAGTACCAGAGGTTGTTGACATTTATGATCAAATTCTGAAAAATCAGACATTTTATGGTTTCATGTTTTGTAAGAGCTGAAAAGATGATGAAAAGATACTAGTTTATTCTATGGGTTTGGAGAAATAAGAACTCGTATAAACAGTGAAACTTTGGTGAAATACATTTCAAGAGACTGTTGTTGTCATTTTGTCAGGTTGTCAAAGATCATTAGGAGCAGAGTGCAGATGTTACCGAAAAGAAATCACAAACTGAAATCAGATCTATATAATCTGTAACATCAATTACAACCGCAGGGATGTAGGGTTTGGTCGTGGACCAGACATTAAGGTATGATGAAGAGCCTACAGGGTTTTGCTCGTCTTGGTCAGTAGGGTAGCACAGTGGTTAAAGTGTTTGATCATCATGCTTGAGACCCTTGTTCAGTTCTCGCGTGTACAATTTTTGAAGCCCATCTGTGGTGTCCACTGCCATGATCTTGTTAAAATATTGTTCAGAACAACAAAAGAGCATACTTATTGCCTCATTTTAATGATTCTGCAATAAAGAGAAGTTATGATGTTATTTGTTTTATGTGACATTAATTTAAACAGATGTAATTCAAGTTAACACGTTTTCACTGTATCATATCAATATCTGTACTCACAGAAAGCTGGTTATCGTGTCATCAGTAGGTTTTATGAGTCTGATCTGTCAGTTTTTGTCTTTGAATGCCATTGTATGTACAACACTTGAGAGAAATGCTATTTTGATAAAATGTACGAATAATTTTGTTTGTTCTGTCAAATGACTTGGCAGGGATGATATACAGGTATAGTTGTGATGTTGAAATATTTGGCTATATTTTGGTAGATTGTTTAATGATAGTGCTTTGTTCTATGTTCATGAAATTATTCATGAAGTTCATTAGGCTTTCCAAACATAGAATAACATACGATGGCAATAAAATCACATCCTTTGATCTGCTTTTCATAGGAAAAGAAAAGACATTCCATATCATTTTGATATCATAACAATATGACCACCTTGATAAGATACTAACCTGATGATGATCTGACAAACCCATGTCAGGAGGTCACAACAGGGGCCTTTCTAATCAGCCTCTTGACTTAAAGGCTTTAAAATTCTTTGTGTTCATGAGTGACGCATTCAGACCAACTTATTTGAAATCTGTATCTCGAAAATGAATTTAAAGAACCAGTTCTGGATGTAAATAATATAGGCTATGTATGTTGAGTGCCATGAAAAATGGTGTACAGAAAGAATATTTATATTTTGTTTTGATTTTCTTCTATTGGAACCGAAATTTCCAAATCAAAGCAGGGCGGTGGGGTAGCCTAGTAGTTAAAAGTTCGCTTGCACACGGAAGACCCGGGTTCGACTCCCCACATGTGTACAACGTGTGAAGCATATTGTCCCCCGCCATGATATTGCTGGAATATAGTTAAAAGCAGCATAAAACTAAACACAATCCGAATCAAAGCACTAAAGAGATGAAGCGAAATAATCAGTGAAATATGACATCTCTTTGACTCAGCTAAATGGACAATCATAGTTCACACAACATTTTCCTGACACTTCTGTGTGTGGAGGGTTGTCAGATCTTCAGACACTGAGGTATCTTATTAGAGACTAAGATATCTTTTTATTTTCATGAGACTTTTGCTGTGCCCTGAGACTATATTCACTTCATTTGATTATTCAGAAAGTTACAATAATTTTGTCTTAATATGTGGATGTTTCATGAAGATTTCTAAATGTTTTAAAGTTTGAGGGATGAGGTTAACAAAACTAAAAGTTATTTTCATATTCTCAGTGTATGTTTTTGGCTCTGGTCAGTCATAATTATTAACTTAAAAAACAGAAGATAAAGTGTCACCCAATCACTGCCAATGGATTTAACGATACATATGGGAAAATCATTGGATGTTTGAAACGGTCTGTACATTTTAGAGCAATTCTAGCAATACTGTGTATATTACAAAAACTACGACAATCAATATCATATTTAAAAACAACATATACCAAGCGAAAAAAGTTGAGGATCATGAAAATTATCAGGGATTTTTCTTATTTTGTTTGTTTTGAAAACCGACTACCCAGGTCCATAAAGGTATCCCACAATGTATTGAGGGTTATTAATTGTTTTTGTTCAGTACAAACTTTCAACATTTATATATAAGCATATCATAGGTCACTTTGTTGTCATTTTTTTAGTTGTAATCGTCATGGTTACTGGGCAGCTTCCTGTATTTCTGTCACATGGCTGTGTAATGAATGTCCCACCTGTGTCCTGATTATTGTTTTGCAGCACTTCTTTATGTGGACCAGGGGTAATATATCACTGCTTTGTTAAGTTGATGAGGCAGCTGTCACTCTGATGTTTAACCAGCACCAGTAGGATGCATATTATTACAAACAGAAACAGATGTACGTGCAATGTTGATGCATATTCTCTCAAGTCAAGATGGATTTACTTAGAACATATGCATATTCTCACAGAGAATTTACATATATGTACATTCTCTGAACAGATTTTAATGTTAGATACACTTCACTTTGAAGCTGACAGCACCTTTGATGCTAAGTGTTTTGTAGTTACCTGAGCCTCTATTTTGGTTTAAGTATAGCTTTGAAGTTCTCCGTTTCTACCTGTAAGCTTTCTATTATTGATTGATCATACAGTAAGTCTCAGTCTTTCTGTTTTAAAATATTATGGGCGTTAATGTTAATGTCTGCCTCTGGAGAGCTGTTTCAGCCATGACGTGGTTGATTGCTGTTGTACAGCATGGACTGGTGCTCGCACTGTCGACCACTGCTTTTCCTACCTTGATGTATTAGTTTATGCTGGCTGCTGTGATATAGACTTGCTGACTAGCGCGTTCAACATTGTCTTTGCCTCCTTAAGTAGTCTGGTAGGAGTCTGGTGCAACTCTGTTTTGTAGAGAACTTGCATAAAACATTGGAAACACAACCCTATTATTTTCAGGACTTTATATATTTTCATCAAGATAACAATGATTACAGACAGATAAAAACATGATTATTTTTGTGTGATTTGAAAAAAGCCCTGTTACATTAAAGATTTATATCTTTCTTTTTTTGGTTCCAGCAATTTTGGGGGCTGGTCACCCACCCAATTAAAAATGTTTTTATTTTGAGCTAAAAATGCATATCATATTTTAAATAGATCAGCTGATACATTAACAATACTTATACTGCATGATATCAGGTTGGTTGGTTGGTTGGACAAAACAATCCAGTGATCAAGATCATGAGCATCGATGTCAGACCACAGTATCTGAAGATCTTGAACTCCTTCCCCAACACTTTGTATTGATTTGTCCTTTTTGTATGTTATATAATTAACTCCTGAAAATGACAGAATATTCAAATCACATTCAATGACCCAATGACCTTCAGCACTTCTGGGTAACCTTGAAGCCGAATTGAACAATACCTGACTCAAAAACATTTCTGTAAAAGACGAAACATATAAATACCACATTGATATGCTTCTGAAAAAACTTATTCTCAGATTTTGTGGTTGAGCAAAATATTAATGTTAGTAGCATAAATTTAGGTGGCAGTTTAAAAGCTATGGTATCAGTGAAGACAGCTGTGGCTTAGAGATTTCAACATCTTTGTTCTGTCTGTGTGATGTTTCTCAACCGATGAGGATACTGTTATGAAGCAAGCATCGATAAGGTTACCAGCATCTGTACCCACACATCACACAGAACAATCCCTGTCTTCTTTGTGTGAGAGGGAGAATAAACACCACTCAAAAGAATTCTTTCTTATCAATACATCTGTCATGGAATATGGGGCAGTGGGGTAGGCCAGTGGTTAAAGCATTCGCTTGTTCTAAAGGCCCAGGTTCGATTCCCCACATGGGTGAAATGTGTAGCCCATTTCTGGTGTCACCGACCGTGATATTGCTGGAATATTGCTAAAAGCGGCGTAAAACGAAACTCACTCACTATCAGGGCATGACAGACTGACTGCAGTAGTATGAAAGAATAAAATGTCTAAAAAGATTTAGTGGTATGTATTGTTTTAGCATGATACTAAAGTTAATGTATTTTGATAGACAGAGGTTGGTTATATAAGATAGTATTAAATAATCAAAAATGAAATTTAAGCAACATCATATAAGCATTGAGAAACAAATTACTGGTTCATGATTTTCATTAAATATTCCTGTTTGACATCTGTCAATATGCTGCTTGGTATGTTCAACCCTGCTATAATTTGTCAGTAAGGGAACATAGTTTCCTTTTGTTTTTGTGAATGATGAGTTGTAATTTTTTGTCAAAAGATTCTGAGAAATGTTTTGTTCAGTTGGAAATGTGCATATTTCTCACCACTCTTTCATTGTGGAGTTGATATTTTTGGTTTCAATGTTGAGGCAAATCACATATAACTGTACCAAGATCTTCAAAGAATGTTGAGTGTTTCATATTCTCAGTTGTATTGATTTGACCTCAAGGGAAAGGTACATATTTGTGTATTTTCTTGTTTCTGATTGAAATGTTGGCAGATAATCTCCGTAAAACAAGAAATATGTCTTGTGTATGAGGGATGTGTGATATGTGTGCAGCATGTAGGGTCAGATTTGTAATTATGTATGTGACAATGTATTTAGAACAACTGTCACGGACCTTGGCATTTTGTTTTATAGGTGCCCTTGTCTTTCAGCACTGCAGACAGCAGGATTGCATAGGTACATAGTTTTAGTTTGAGGTTTGCAAGTTGCCTTGTGTGTGTCAAGTTTGGTGCTTAGATTTGTGATGGTGGTGAAATCTTGAGGGACCAGTTTTTTAAACTTGAGTTTTATGTTGCGTGAATCTGATATTTGTTTCAGTGAGTGTCAGTTGTTTGCAGGTTCATTGTCCATTTGTACATTTGTGGGCAATGGTTATAACATCAATGTTTAATCTTGTATGGAATTAGTGATGATGCATGCCTGATTGTAACAGGAGCCTGTCTGAACTACAATAAATGCTTGAAAAAATGTCCGGCTTCAGACAGCCATTGAGGAAATGTTTTAGTTCATCTTTGAGATGGTGAATGTGGATCGGTTGTCCATCATGGAGATGGTAAATGTGGATTGGTTGTCCATCATGGAGCTGGTGAATGTGGATCGGTTGTCCACCATGGAGATAAAGAATGTGCATCGGTTGTCCACCATGGAGAAGGTGAATGTGGATCGGTTGTTCACCTTTGAGATGGTGAATGTGGATTGATTGTCCACCTTTGAGATGGTGAATGTGGATCGGTTGTCCACCTTAGAGATGGTGAATGTGGATCAGTTGTCTATAATGGAGATGGTGAATGTGGATCAGTTGTCCATCACAAAGATGGGTGAATGTTGATCAGTTGTCCATTACGAAGATTGGTGAATGTGGATCAGTTGTCCTTCACAAAGATGGGTGAATGTGGATCAGTTGTCCATCATGGAGGTGGCTGAATGTGGATCAGTTGTCCATCATAGAGATGGGTGTATGTGGATCAGTTGTCAGTTATGGAGATGGGTAAATGTTGATCAGTTGTCCATCATGGAGATGGTGAATGTGGATCAGTTGTCCATCACAGAGATGGGTGAATTTGGATCAGTTGTCCATCACGGAGATGGGTGAATGTGGATCGATTGTCCATCGTTGAAAGATTGGTTTATGATAATTGGGTGGCCATCTATCAGGTGGCTCCCAAGGAAACATCAGTATATAGCTAAGGTGATCTCAGGTTATTTTGGTATGATAACTGTGACTCCAGAATGATTGCTAAATATCTCCTACCACAATGTAAGGTCCTATTTATGTACATATCGTCACCTCATTTGTAACCAGGGAGTGACTGAAGACTATAACAGTGTGGGGTAAAGTCCAGATTCATGTCGACTAGTTGTCGGACATTGTATCAGTAGAGGTGTGTCGTCAAGTGAGTGTTTCTGCACCCTTGTGTATCATGTATATATGGAGCATTATTTAACATTACTTGATTATGCAGAGCGCTGTGTGCTATTTATGCAGAGTTCTTTATATTTTTTCACAATGTGTTTTAGTTGTTCACAATAGTAATATAAGGAGAATGTTGAGGATATTATTGAGGTCCTATGAGGACAGTTCCATCATTGTTTGACATGAAACAACAAGAAGTGACACTTGAACTCTGCAACAAATGTTTCTCTAAATAATTCACCGATTCTATTATGCAGGTTGCTTCTATTGCAGTGTACAGCATGGAGAATGTATGAGAGTAGTCGAACTCAGATCCATGTGATGAATTGATAATGGAGAATGATAACACACTGCTAACACGGTATTTGAAGGCTATTTGATATGGATATATTTTTACATGTTTCTATAGACATCTCCGAGAATGTTCAGAAAAGAAACCCCAAATAACTAACTTCTATCCCTTGACATTCACTCCTGTCGAGATAAATGTAGCCACCAGTGTGTAAAATATGAATACAAACTGCCCCATCTAAGACGGGTATTTGGAAGAGTAGCAAACTTATTTCTGCTTTGCTTTGATAGTTAAAGATACAATATCCTTCTGGATGTTCATATTGGTGCAATTCTTATTCTGCCAGGGTAAGGTTCTGTGAAAGGGATATTGCTCTCTCCATTTGACTTAATGTTCCAATCAAGTGTTGCCCAGCTTTACCTGCAATAAGAGTATATTTTATACAGGAAAGAGACCATTTTTGTATTTACTGCACCTTTCTGCCCGTGACAGTGCAGGTTATCAACAGCATTGCATTGTCCATTATAGTCGCCCATTGTCACATCTCTGTGGACCAGGTTCAATAAATAACATAGAACATCACAGTGTGTTGAGCTTTTCCTTGACCACCTGCTGCTCCTGCTGCTGCTGCTGCTGCTGCTAGCCGAGGCATTTGTCTGGACTTTCATCAGGGTGCCAACGGTTGCATTGTTCATTATAGTCACCCATTGTGACATCTCTCTGGACCAGGTTCAATAAGTCACATAGAACATCACAGTGTGTCGAGCTTTGCTTTGACCTGCTGCTGCTGGGCTAGCCATTAGTCTGGAGTTTTATCATGGCGCTAACGGTAAGTCAGTGTTGTTTAGGAGACAAAGGTTTCTGCTGTCTGCCGTGTTACCTAATGTTTTGTGGGCAAGCTTGATGTATGAACTTGCTATTTCGTAGGATATTGCCCTGAAGGGATTTATTGGATGAAGAATGCCTTTGAAGGTAGTGAAAATAATGTGAGTTATGGTCAGTGTTTCAGGTTAAGATAGGACTTTGTATCTACTATGTTGATTGGACAGTGAACACTTAACATTCGTTTTACACTTGAGACAAGATCTGCATTGCGCTTCTGGTCATCAAAGAGCAACTACATGGGGGGCGGGGCGGTAACCTAGTGTTTAAAGCGTTCGCTTGTCATGCTGAAGACCAAGGTTCGATTCCCCACATAGGTGCATTGTGTGATGCCCATTTCTGGTGTCGCCAGAAGGGGCGTAAAACCAAACTCACTACCAGATGGGGTTTCCAGGGAAGACTTGTACCCAAGCAACCTATGCATGTTTTAAGGGGTGGCTATGTGGCCTGGTCTAGTGAATCGGATATTTTCAGTATTAGAGACCACTTGGTTGATTACAGGATTGTCTGGTTCAGACATGATTATTTACAGACCGCTGTCACATAGCTGGAGTATTGCTGAGTGCAGCGTTAAACAACAAACATGCCACTAGGACTGTTTTATAACAACACACACAGCAGTACCTCAAACATTTGAACATTTGGCCTCTGTACTTCTGAGTGAGTGAGTTAAGTTTTACACAGCACTCAGCAATATGGTCTGTAAATAATCAAGTGTGGACCAGACAATACAGTGATTAACAGCATGAGCATTGATATCGTGTGTGGCCTCTATGGGCATTGATTAAATCATTGCATCGTCTGTACATGGAATGAATTAGCCGGTCGATGAAGGCCATAGGCACTTGGGTCTATACTCTGTGAAATGCCTGATCGAGTCCAGCCGCAGTTGTCGGCCTTGGTTGGAGGCCATTCAGTCTTCTTTGAATCTCGTCCCAAAGGTGTTGTACTGGACTTAAATTCGGACTGAGTGCAGGCTATTGTAGGGTTTGGATGCCACGTTGTCTTAGGAAGTCCAATGTTGCTCTGGCAGTGTGGGCACGAGCGTTTTTCTTGCTGGAAGATGTGATTTCTGTAACGTCAAAAATGTGGTACAACGTGGGGTCTTATGATTTAATCAATATAGCGAGCAGCTGTCATGTCATTGCCTCATCCTGGACCATAATTCTGGAACACCACGGTGTCAACTAACTGTTAGGACCGGTTGCACCCCACACTATGATGTTTGGACCACCCCACGAGTCTCTTTCAACAATACACTAATTGGAAAACAGTTCCCCATGCCTTCGCCATACTCTCACTCTGCCATCGACAGTCGAAACACAATATCGGCTTTCATGAGATAACAGCACAGTTCTCCATTGTCGATAACCTCAATTTCAATGCTGAGTTGCCCATTTTTTGGCGTTGATGACAGGACTACGATATGATCTGTGACAGCAGAGGTTTCTTCCGCGCAAACGTCGGCGCACTGTATCGGCACTGATGGGTCTGTTTTGATTCAGAAATGGTCTGACGTGCTGTTTCCGTCGCTCTGGGGAAGCGATCCTGCAGATGGTCGCGCACAGCCTGTCATTCTTGACGTTGTGATGTTACTGAAGGTCGCCCACTGCGTTGACGATCTTGAATGCTCTTAGTGACCTGATACCACTCCTGCTGAACATTAAAATGATTGGCTACCCTTCGTGCAGTCTGGACAACTTGCAATCGTCCCACGACTTGGTTCCTCTGATCTCTCGTAAGACGTGGCATGGTGGTTGTGTCAAAACAAAAATGATTCCAGGCGAGCTTGGGACCTGCTTTCATTGGTTGGGTTGTCACGACATGCACGTGCATTTTTTATTTTCACAAATGTTTTCGGTGCGTTTGGTCGATATGCGTTTTCACGAGAAAACACACTGATGTTGGTAATAAGTGTCAATTTGGATTGAAAAACATGTTAAGAAAACAGTACAAACATAATAAAAACACCACCTTGCAAGAACAATTTTTTTCATTTGGTTTTGCAAAGCGATGTTTCTTTTGTGGTTCAGTATAGATAGTATGTTCGTACTTAGCATGTTTGCCAGTTCTTTGACTTGAACTTATGAGGACATCAATAAAGGAAATATGGTGTAGTAGAACTAAAGCTCAAAGATTCGTATGTCACGTCTGAATTCGGGTTCAATTCCCACCATGGTGACAATGTATGAAAGCGGTTGTTGGTGTGGTTTCCTAAATATTGTAGGAATGTTGCTTTGGGAGTTAAAACCCAGATCACCCTAAAGCAAACGTCTTGACCTTCATCTGAGCGGCTTGACCTTCATCACCACTGCTTGACCTTCATGGCCAGCCTTCAGCTGAATCTTGCTTCTGATACTGCCCCCGTTTGGTGTTACTCTTCAATATTTCCAAACCATGCTTACACTCATAGGTTCCTGTGGAAGAAATTGAAGAAGAAAGTGTGGCTATTCCAGCACTTCTTCCCGAACCTGCATTGGTTTGTCTAGATGAACCATCTATTATTCAAAACCTGCATAAGCAGGTGCAAATGGGCTAGTCTGGATCACATTCAAGAGAAGGAATCGAATTAACCAAACATTTCACCTGGATGGCGAGGCGTAAAGAGCATCCCCAAAGGTCCAGGATGGCGCCCTCGCAGTGACATGCGCAGTGACTTGATTACCACCTACGGCATTGCTGATTACAACCTGTAGTTACCGTGGGCATTGATAATTACAACCTGGGTCCATTAGCGTGTGTCGACACTGACAACCAATCTATTACTGTGTGGAGATGGTCGACGGTACCTTTACCAAAGTCATGGGACTGCTACCGTCGAGAGACTAAAGATCTTGGAATACGAGAATGGTAAGAGTAAGATGCAGGCCCTTGCTTACAGTCTCTGTACAGCTTTTAGGCAACCGTATCCTGTATCCCAGTGTGGTGATGGTTCAGGGTTTGCTGTACAGCTTATAGGCAACCGTATCCTGTATTCCAGTGTGGTGATGGTTCATGGTTTGCTGTACGGCTTATAGGCAACCGTATCCTGTATCCCAGTGTGGTGATGGTTCAGGGTTTGCTGTACAGCTTATAGGCAACCGTATCCTGTATTCCAGTGTGGTGATGGTTCAGGGTTTGCTGTACAGCTTATAGGCAACCGTATCCTGTATTCCAGTGTGGTGATGGTTCAGGGTTTGCTGTACAGCTTATAGGCAACCGTATCCTGTATCCCAGTGTGGTGATGGTTCAGGGTTTGAGACACCTTGAGAAACATCACGTCCTCCTTTCTCATCTGGAATCCAATGTTCATGAATTCCTCTAAAAGGCAAAAACACTTTCCACGTTGGAAACAATTTGAGAAAATGATTGTAATTTCATCTGATTCTTTATTGTGTTGGCAAACCACCAAGAAGGGCAATCTCGGCCAGCCACTTTACTGGCTCTAATCGAATTGCATACTTAACTATACAAATCTCAACACGATTTCTTGTTGCCTGGCAGTGTTTGTCTTGGTGTTGAGCATATTCTTAATGTCGATCCTGGGACCGAAGTGGTTATAACCTGTGGGGGCGGTGGGGTAGCTTAGTGGGTAAGGCGTTTTCTCGTCAAATCGAAGATACAAGTTCAATTCCCCATAGGGTTTAATGTGTGAAACACATTTCTGGTGTATCCGGACGTGATATTGCTGGGATATTGCTAAAAAGCCACACTTACTCACATAATAACCTGCACTGGTTATCATTTGTGTATTTCATTGATTTCCATTGGATTTCCATTGATTTTGTACATGACATGCATGGGGGGTCTCTTACTTTGTACATTATTTTTTTTTTTTGGTGGGGGGGGGGGGGATTCATATTGTACATGTTTCTCCATAAAAATCATCATCATCCCCCCTAGCCATAAATTATGAACCGTCCCCAAGACAATCCAGTGAGTGATGTTATGAGTACCAGCTCACACCGTCAGAGAACGTTGAGAGGTTAACATGGGTATGTTGCAGCAATATTCCAGCAATATCACGGCGGGAGACACCAGGAAGGGCTTCACCCATTGTTCCCATGTGGGGAATCGAACCCGGGTATTCGGCGTGGCGAGCGAACGCTTTAACCACTATGCTACCAACCGCCCCTATGTTGCAGCGACTCCTGACACCTGTAGGTGTCTGCAAAAGAGGTGTCCTCTTGGGGCAGAATAAAAAGGGACACCGCTGACGTGACTCTGTCCCAAAACATTACAACCCAACTGCCGGAGTGGTTGATCTTTGGCACTGGTGTGTGTTATAAAAAAACCATTTAAAGTGTATAAAAGAAGAAGTGTTATAAGGCACGGAATCAAACAAATCTTCTGATGTAAGTGTTTTTGTCACATCATTTGAAGATGTTTGACAAAGAAATCCTTCAGAGGGCACACTCATAGCCTTGTTGGTTTCTACTTCTGTGAAAACCTGCCCCGTAATCACACGAGAATCCCGGTGCCGCCATAATTGTCTCCTAAGAATTCCAGCCTCAAAGCAAAAAGTATCGATACATGTCCAGGACAAAAAAAACTGCTTGTAGTAATTGCAAGAGACCATTATGTCAGCCCGGTATCGATGTTTACCATGTTACAAGCTCTAATCACCACGTTTCACGCACCACACTTTGATTTTATCAAGCTAATGATAACGCAACGCGGTGTTGGGAGCTATTTAATCTGAAGCCCCTGCCCTCGCTCGA